AGCTCTTTGCCACCTTCTCCTCCCTGCTGAATCCTCCTCCCCCCCTCCTCCCTCTCTGTGGATGACTTCGTCAACCATTTTGAAAAGAAGGTTGACGACATCCAATCCTCGTTTGTTAAGTCAAATGACACTGCTGGTCCTGCTCACACTGCCCTACCCTATGCTTTGACTTCTTTCTCCCCTCTCTCTCCAGATAAAATCTTGCGACTTGTGACGGCCGGCTGCCCAACAACCTGCCCGCTTGACCCTATCGCCTCCTCTCTTCTCCAGACCATCTCCGGTGACCTTCTCCCTTACCACACCTCGCTCATCAACTCATCCTTGACCGCTGGCTATGTCCCTTCCGTCTTCAAGAGAGCGAGAGTTGCACCCCTTCTCAAAAAACCAACACTCGATCCCTCTGATGTCAACAATTACAGACCAGTATCCCTTCTTTCTTTTCTCTCCAAAACTCTTGAGCGTGCCGTCTTTAGCCAACTCTCTTGCTATCTCTCTCAGAATGACCTTCTTGATCCAAACCAGTCAGGTTTCAAGACTGGTCATTCAACTGATACTGCTCTTCTCTGTGTCACGGAGGCTCTCCGCACTGCTAAAGCTAACTCTCTCTCCTCTGCTCTTGTCCTTCTAGACCTGTCTGCTGCCTTTGATACTGTGAACCATCAGATCCTCCTCTCCACCCTCTCCGAGCTGGGCATCTCCGGCGCGGCTCACTCTTGGATTGCGTCCTACCTGACCGGTCGCTCCTACCAAGTGGCGTGGCGAGAATCTGTCTCCACACCACGTGCTCTCACCACTGGTGTCCCCCAGGGCTCAGTTCTAGGCCCTCTCCTATTCTCGCTATACACCAAGTCACTTGGCTCTGTCATATCCTCACATGGCCTCTCCTATCATTGCTACGCAGATGACACACAACTAATCTTCTCCTTTCCCCCTTCTGATAACCAGGTGGCGAATCGCATCTCTGCATGTCTGGCAGACATGTCAGTGTGGATGACGGATCACCACCTCAAGCTGAACCTAGGCAAGACGGAGTTGCTCTTCCTCCCGGGGAAGGACTGCCCGTTCCATGATCTCGCCATCACGGTTGACAACTCTGTTGTGTCCTCCTCCCAGAGTGCGAAGAGCCTTGGCGTGACCCTGGACAACACCCTGTCGTTCTCCGCTAACATCAAGGCGGTGACCCGATCCTGTAGGTTCATGCTCTACAACATTCGGAGAGTATGACCCTGCCTTACACAGGAAGCGGCACAGGTCCTAATCCACGCACTTGTCATCTCCCATCTGGATTACTGCAACTCGCTGTTGGCTGGGCTCCCTGCCTGTGCCATTAAACCCCTACAACTCATCCAGAATGCCGCAGCCCGTCTGGTGTTCAACCTTCCCAAGTTCTCTCATGTCACCCCGCTCCTCCGCACACTCCACTGGCTTCCAGTTGAAGCTCGCATCTGCTACAAGACCATGGTGCTTGCCTACGGAGCTGTGAGGGGAACGGCACCGCCGTACCTTCAGACTCTGATCAGTCCCTACACCCAAACGAGGGCATTGCGTTCATCCACCTCTGGCCTGCTGGCCCCCTTACCTCTGCGGAAGCACAGTTCCCGCTCAGCCCAGTCAAAACTGTTCGCTGCCCTGGCACCCCAATGGTGGAACAATCTCCCTCACGACGCCAGGACAGCGGAGTCACTCACCACCTTCCGGAGACACTTGAAACCCCACCTCTTTAAGGAATATCTGGGATAGGATAAAGTAATCCTTCTACCCCCCCCCCCCCCCTTACCCCACCCCACCAAAAAAATACATACATTTACATTTACATTTACGTCATTTAGCAGACGCTCTTATCCAGAGCGACTTACAAATTGGTGCATTCACCCTATAGCCAGTGGGTTAACCACTTTTTGGGTGGGGGTGGGGGGGGGGGGGGGTTGGGGGGGGGTAGAAGGATTACTTTATCCTATCCCAGGTATTCCTTAAAGAGGTGGGGTTTCAAATGTCTCCGGAAGGTGGTGAGTGACTCCGCTGTCCTGGCGTCGTGAGGGAGCTTGTTCCACCATTGGGGTGCCAGAGCAGCGAACAGTTTTGACTGGGCTGAGCGGGAACTATGCTTCCGCAGAGGAAGGGGAGCCAGCAGGCCAGAGGTGGATGAACGCAATGCCCTCGTTTGGGTGTAGGGACTGATCAGAGCCTGAAGGTATGGAGGTGCCGTTCCCCTCACTGCTCCATAGGCAAGGACCATGGTCTTGTAACGGATGCGAGCTTCAACTGGAAGCCAGTGGAGTGTGCGGAGGAGGGGGGTGACGTGAGAGAACTTGGGAAGGTAGAACACCAGACGGGCTGCGGCATTCTGGATGAGTTGTAGGGGTTTAATGGCACAGGCAGGGAGCCCAGCCAACAGCGAGTTGCAGTAATCCAGACGGGAGATGACAAGTGCCTGGATTAGGACCTGTGCCGCTTCCTGTGTAAGGCAGGGTCGTACTCTCCGAATGTTGTAGAGCATGAACCTGCAGGATCGGGTCACCGCCTTGATGTTAGCGGAGAACGACAGGGTGTTGTCCAGGGTCACGCCAAGGCTCTTCGCACTCTGTACATATTGTAAAGTGGTTATCCCACTGGCTATAAGGTGAATGCACCAATTTGTAAGTCGCTCTGGATAAGAGCGTCTGCTAAATGACGTAAATGTAAATGTAATGGTACATCACTACTACTCACACCATTTCTCTCAGGATCCCTCCCACTTGACCCATCTTCCTCTACTTTCTTCACTGCCTCCGCATATGACAACTTCTTCTCTACTCTTACCCTGGATACCTCAACCTGCTTCTCTTGCACTGAACATGTCTGATCCCCAGCCCCATGGCCACCCCTACAGTTAGCACACACCACCACTTTCCCCACTGCTTCACACTCCTTTGTCTCATGCCCTTCTGCACACTTCTCACACCTTGGAATCTCCCTCCTACACACTGCTGCCACATGCCCATAAGTTTGACACCTGTAACATCTTAAGGTATTCGGCACATATGCTCGCACTGGATAACTTATATATCCTAACCTCACTTTCTCAGGCAAAGACTCAACTTCAAAACACAAAAGAACAGACAATGACTCTTCTATTTCCCCACTCTCGCCACCCTGTTTACGTCGCACCAAACGACGAGCATCACACACACCGGGAATCATCTCCTTCAATTGGTCAACTTTTACATTCACTGCTACTCCAGTAATCACTCCTCTCAATGGCGCCCTTTTTTTAAGAGCGAAACAATTCACAATTATTTTCCCCATTTGTTTAACTCTGAGCGCCTTCTCCCTCTGCCCAACAGAAACACAAACAATTATCACTAGACCACTTCTGGTTACCCTCACCGATTCCACTTTACCCAACGCTCTTTTCACCCATCTTTAAACCTCCTCTGCCTCTTTTTCCCTCCATTCCTCCTCTGTCATCCAGGTATACGTTTCCTTATGATAATACTGCATTTCTCCAAACCTATATCTGTTTCTTGCCTTCTCTAAGGACTCAATTTTCCCCCTCCTTTCCCTTCCGGCGTCTATTCTATCCTCGGCCTTGACCTCTTCATTGCTCTCCTCTTCTGATCCGCTGTCCTCCTCTCCTGAATCACCATCGTCTTCCGATCCCTCATCCGAGCTGTTATCCTCACTATCATCGGGACTTACTCCATTTCCAACTGCTCGTCTTTTCGCTGAAGACGCCATGCTCCACCCAGCCTGCCCTAGCCCTTCCCCAATTTACCGGCAATCCCACAACTGCCACACAACATCATACAGAACAGTCCAGGGCTAAATGGGGGTGGTGATGAGATGATGAGGTGCAGGTGCGCTGGAGGTGATTAGGGTGCGTTGGGTTTCCATTCCGGTGTTTCCGAGGTGGTGCTCTCAGACCGGTGGCTCAGTAGACCGGTGAATCAGAGCGCCGGAGGGGAGCAACGGGAGGAGACGTGACAAGTACTGTGCGCCTCCCATAGTCTGTTCTGGACTTGGGGACTGTGAAGAGACCTCCGGTGGCATGTCTTGTGGGGTATGCAAGGGTGTCCGTATTCCAAACAGACAGCTCGGTACATTCAGCTTGTCGACACCTCTTACAAAAACAAGCAGTGATGAAGTCCATCTCTCTTCCACTCTGAGCCAGGAGAGACTGACATGCATGTCATTAATGTTAGCTCTCCGTGTACTTTTAAGGGGCAGTCGTGCTGCCCTGTTCTGAGCCAACTGCAATTTTCCCAAGTCCCTCTTTGGATAAACACCTTGCAGGTTTTTTAAAAATAAGGTTGTACTGTTTTTACTTTTGATGACATCAGGCACTTTCAGGACATTTTCTTCTTGTTTGTTCTACAGGACTTAGAAACGCTGCGTTTTTAAATAGACAATGGTATGGTGCTGGAGATAATTAATAGTATTTTGAAAAGTGGTGGAATTCCACTTTAAGTTTAAATGTTTTTTTCCCATCACAAATTAAGTGATTTTTTGATTCTCGACAGCACTTTTATATTGAAATTCACATACAAAGCACCGCAAGCCAAGAATAAGGGCTGTCCAGAATGTCTCTTATCCGGAGGTGTTGAGAAGAGTGGAAGAAAGGAGTGAAGTTGAAGATGTAATGGTAGTAGGAGTAGAGACACAATATGCTATTCCTTGTTAACAGAGGTATCCTGACATGTTACATGTTAAGAAGGTGGACTTTGTAGCGTGTATTACTTTGGTTATCAACTGCACAGCGCAAACGGAGAGGAAATCGGAGAAAATAGGCATCATTGTGAGTGCGGCTGAGCGTTTTGGGGGATTTTTCTGCAGAGGCATAGCAAGGAATACTGTGCCTGTGTATGGTTGTGATTTGAATGTGATTGAAGGAGTGGGATGGTTGTTTGATTTTTTAAATTGTATTATTTCGGGTCAATACCCCGTACAGTAGGTTGCGGCAATACACTAATAGGTGTAGTCTGCCATAAAAATTTAAAGAAGAAGAACAAAGCACTGCAACCGGAAGTTCGAATTGCTAGGTTCCGGTCGGGTTCACACACTGCAGCCACAGGTCTTTGCTGTTTGTTGATAGTAGCATAGCTAACCAGTCTGAACTGCTATGTCAATATTTGTGACTTAGCTAGCTGAAGTAAACCATTTTTACGGTGAAAATGAGTTCTCCAGGGAATCGACACGGGACAAAAAGACCTGGCTCTCCAAATGAAGTAGGTTAAGTGTATAGCTAGCTAAATTCATTGAACGTGACTACCTTGTGGTTCAGGTAGCTAGCCAACGTTAGCTAGCAAGGCCCGTCTTGTTGGCTTCAGCGAAGAGAAGTATGCAGCTAGCTATGCAGCCACTAACTCAAGAAAGCCATAACTACAGAGTAAAACCACAGTTATAAAAATCGTTGGTAAAACAGCTAGCTAATTAATTAATTGTAAACAACCAATAGTATAGCTAGCTACGTTACTGTACGTTAGTCAACAAATCACCATAAAAAAGTAGTTCGTTTTTAGCTAACCTTTTCACCATGTTAGGTGGCCAGATTGACAGTTCATTATGCTTGCCGGACAGCCAGGCAATAATTAGAAACATATTTATTTTTGATAAATTAATCAACTCAATGCTGTTACTACTAGGCCTATGATGTAACTAGCTGACGTTAGATTAAGATGTGATTTAGCCTCATATCAAACTGCCAAATTAGCCAAGGTGCAATAGACCTAGGGCTATATTCTGGGATCCCATTCTTTGTGTACTGTAGCCAATGTGTTGGTTTCTTGCAGGATGGACCTACTCCATGGGAAGCTGCAGATCTGGGGGACAACGAGAGAAAGCAGAAGTTTTTGCGGTTGATGGGTGCAGGGAAGGTTTGTTTGGTCATGTTCTATGTAGACTATTACAATGTTTCCCAACCCTTTCCTCTGGACCACTAGAAGTTCACATATTTGTTGTAGCCCTTACACTGGCACAACTGACTCATTGTCAACTAATCACCAAGCCCTTGACTAGTTGAATCAAGTGTGTCAGTTTTAGGGCTCAACAAATATGTAAAACATCTGGTACTGGACTATTACTGTTATTTCAACTTGTGACCATTACCTCTATTCCAGTATTAGATTGAGCCACCATTTTATTGTAGGCTACACCTTATAATCCATACAGCTTTGTCAAAGGAGAAACAGAACTGTGGTATTACAGAATCCAATGTTTACTGTATTTGTTTCTGCAGAAAGAGCACACCGGGCGCCTAGTCATTGGAGATCACAAGTCAACATCCCATGTCCGCAGTGGTGAGGAACCCTCTTTGAATTATACATAAGGGTTGTCATGGTACTTGTATCGTGACAACCCTATTCTACACTTCCTTTCAATCACACACTCTTTACTCATGGATGTATCTATTTAATCTAATCTTATCCCATACCAATACAGTACTATCTCGGACCGAATAGCACTGTATTGGGTATGATTGGTGTTTCACTAGCTTGTCCTCTGCAGGGGCGGAGGACCAGAGGATGAATTCTGAGCTGGAGCTGCAGTACCAGCAGGGGCTGGACGGGAAGCTGTCAGGCAGGAACAGGAGACACGTCGGCCTGGGCTTCAGCGAGGTGAGGGATCATGGACAGACGGGTTGAACATCAATACAGAGCGTGCTTGCCACATGTCCCTGTTGTTGCTGGTTGAGAACCGGTCCTAGCAAAGATGGCCAAGAAATGGTTACATTATGATGCATAGGGCCTCTGAAATCAGCCTATCTACAGTTATATTATCTATGGTGTTGAATGGCTGAATCGCGAGGTATTAAATAAGAAACGCTTGTTTTTATTTTCTGTTGCAAAACGTTTGTCGTAATGAACACAATCCTGGACTGTTACAGCAAGGTGAAGCCTAGAATGAGATGAGGCTAGAATGACATGATTAGACTGTGATGTAATACTGATTGCTTGACTGATTGATGGATGATATACATTTTGAGATTTGAGTTAGGGGCAGTGCTCCTAATTGGACCTGTATGTTTTCATATGTAAGATTAATGACAGCAGATGAAGTTCCACAACATCAAAATGTGTTGCTCTGTCTGTAAGACTGTTTGTGATTGGCTCAAGTCACAGAGGCATGATTGCTACAGTCAATGTCCATGACACACCTGCGTGTCGCCTGTTGCCCCAGTCTTCAGATATTAATTTTGTGTCTCTTCTGTTCTCCCCACAGCCTGACCCACCTCCACCACCCGCAGAGAGCCAAGGCAAAGCAGAGCAACCAGCCAGTCCCAAAGCCCCAGACAGCCCTTCGGAACCCCAGGAGTCACTGGACAAATCCCCCTCACAGAGCCCAGAGGGCGGGAGGACAGAGCCCAGCGCAAAAGACAAGAAAGAAGACAAGAAACACAAAATGGCCTTTGTGAAGTCATCCTAAGACTGGGCGAAAAACTGAGAATCACCTTTTCTAATGTCGAACCACAGATTTGTACAAACGATGTTCGTTTGTCTCGGAAGTACTCCCTAGATGATACATGGTAACTTTGTGGTTTAAGAATGCCTTTTTTTTATGTTTCAATGCTGAGCAGCAAAGCAGTAGTGTACTACTGTAGGAGGGAATGTAATCAATGATTGAGCCAGATTCTTCCCATTGTTTCCTTGTCAATTTTTTTGGAATTCCTAACTAGAAGAGGGACTTGTCCAACGTGTTTTAATGGATCTGAGATTAAGCAAAAGCTTTAATTAAGTTGGGTTGAATGTAATGGGGTTGAACCTATTGGCTCGATAGGTATTTTACAGTCCTGTTCAATGTCTCACCATGAGTAATAAAATGTACTTGAACTACAAACTGAATATCAATAAACTGAAGCACCACAGTTCTCTCAGGGTGGGTCTGGTGAATTGTGGGGGAGAAAATAGTGATAAGGAAATAGTTACAGAAACTATACTGAACAAAAATATAAAACGCAACATGTACACGTGTTGATACCAGAAATGTTCCATACGCACAAAAAGCTTATTTCTCTCAAATTTGTTTACATCCCTTTTCTTGAGCATTTCTCCTTTGCCAAGATAATCCATCCACCTGACAGGTGTGGCATATCAAGAAACTGATTAAACAACAATCGTTTCACAGGTGCACCTTGTGCTATGGACAATAAAAGGCCCCTGCCCAGTCATGTGAAATCCATAGATTAGGGCCTTATGAATGTATTTAAATTGACTGATTTCCTTATATCAACTAACTCAGTAAAATTGTTGCGTTTATATTTTTGTTATGTATAAATAAACATGCTTGTGATTTAATTGTCTCACATTTACTGTTTTTGGTGAGTTCATTTGACGTGACACATTGAATCGACAAGAGTGTAATAGTGTGTTCACGTGTGTAACGTCAATAGAAAGAAAGACATTAAGGCAACATGTTTTGTTAAAACCTTTATTTCAATAAAACACCAGTATGGTTTCTTTCCTTTTTAAATTATACAATACAGTTGCTTGGCAAAAGCATTAGGTGGCATTGCTGATCTACAAAAAGAAAAATTTGGTGCAAGATTCTTTCATTACTCAAAATAAATATATAATTATATCATTCCATTTCCCTGTCTGCGACCTTAGAATATATTGCTTTGAACTTAATTTATGTTGATATACAGACCACTGCAAAAAAACTACTAATTATTCTCTATTGCAAAAACTAGTGTTAATAATTACACACAACACGCCATAAAAGTGCAAAAGCATGTAGAAAACAACTCCTATTCAACCTTAACATTAGGTACACGCACAGTTGTTTCAAATGCTCTTGAGTTTCAAACAACTCTTTTTGGTTCTTTAAAAAAGCATCTTGTTTTAGCTCTAATAAAAAGCCTTATTCAACAAATCACTTCACTTCTGCCAGTGAACTCCAAACAATTTTCGTCCACAAGGAGGTCCTGTTGGTGCCTTGGCGTCTGAGTCAACGCTCAGTCAGAGCTCAGCTGAGCATTGGCTGAAAGGGGGGAGGAAAACACTCATGACATTGAAAATACAGACTTTGTGAAAGACTGTCTTTGATGTCTTCAATCTATAGCTCAACCATCTTTCTAAAAAGCCCAAGTATTATCCAAACTTGTTTGTGTGGAAACAATGAGGCACAACCTTTCCACATTCAAAACACATGAGCCAAGAACATTTGGACACGAAAAGCCACCACACTTCAGAAAAGCAACCACCAAAACACCCAATGTAGTGAGAGCAGAAATGACACCTAAAGACTACAGTTATGCCACCACAAACATCACAGAGGCATCTTAAGGCCATGACACTCAGAGGAGATGCGGTGTACCTTCACTAGATCTGTTCATCTCCCCAGCATCTCGCTCTCTGCACAACCAGGGACAATGAGAGAGGGTCCGGTTACTGTGCTGTATGATGAAGTTGCCCCTAGACACTGATCTTGGGTCAGTTTTGCATATTCCCCACTAATGGTTATGATTGGGGGAGGGCAAGCTGATCCTAGATCTGTACCTAGGGGAAACTTCACCCCTGAGTGTGCTGTACCCTCACAGACTGTATATGTGTGCATTTGCACACTCCCTGTCATGGAATTGATTTAAGCATAGGCTGGAGGGAGTTTCCACCATTGATAAATCCAAACGAGAAGGTGTGCAAGTGCAAACTTTGGGAGAAGGGGAGAATCGGGATACAGGCTCTGCCTCACACATAGTAGTAAGTCTATATACTTCACTGTGAACTGGTTAGGCTTCTCTGAAGGGAGGCTATCTATCTACAGCACAGTGATAGTCTCAGTGTCCTGCTAGATATTTACAGTGCCTTCAGAAAGTATTCATACCCCTTGACCTATTCCACATTTTGTTGTGTTACAGCCTGAAATCAAAATGGATTAAATTGTTTTTTTTCCTCACCCATCTACACACAATACCCCATAATGATAAAGTGAAAACATGTTTTTAGAAATGTCTGCACATTTATTGAAAATGAAATACAGAAATGTCATTTACATAAGTATTCACACTCCTGAGTCAATATTTTGTAGAACCACCTTTGGCAGTGATTACAGCTGTAAGTCTTTCTGGGTAAGTCTCTAAGAGCTTTTTCCATACCTGGGTTGTGCAACAAAAAGTGAATTGCTTTGCCACATTTTTTTGCAGTATTACTTTAGTGCCTTGTTGCAAACATGATACATGTTATGGAATATTTTTTATTCTGTACAGGCTTCCTTCTTTTCACTCTATCAATTAGGTTAGTATTGTGGAGTAAGTACATTGTTGTTGATCCATCCTCAGTTTTATCCTATTCCTGCCATTAAACTCTGTAACTGTTTTAAAGTCACCATTGGCCTCATGGTGAAATCCCTGAGCGGTTTCCTTCCTCTCCGTCAACTGAGTTAGTAAGGATGTCTGTATCTTTGTAGTGACTGGGTGTATTGATACACCATCCAAAGTGTAATTAATAACTTCACCATGCTCAAAGGGATATTCAGTGTCAGCTTTTTTGTTTTTACCCATCTACCAATAGGTGCCCTTCTTTGCGAGGCATAGGAAAACCTCCCTAGTCTTTGTGGTTGAATCTGTGTTTGAAATTCACTGCTTGACTGAGGGACCTTACAGATAATTGTATGTGTGGGGTACAGAGATGAGGTAGTCATTAAAAAATCATGTTAAACACTATAATTGCACACAGAGTCCATGCAATTTATTATGCAACTTGTTAAGCACATTTTTACTCCTGAACTTATTTAGGCTTGCCATAACAAAGGGGTTGAATACTTATTGACTCAAGACATTTCAGCTTTTCATTTGTAATTAATTTGTAAACATTTCTAAAAACATAATTCCACTTCTACATTATGAGGTATTGTGTGTAGGCCAGTGACAAAAACATCTACATTTAATCCATTTTAAATTCAGGCTGTAACACAACAAAATGTGGAAAAAGTCAAGGGCTGTGAATACTTTCTGAAGGCACTGTATAGGAATATTAAAGGATTGTCTGTTTCTGCCAATTTAGAATCGGTAGTGTTTTATGAAGGAATGAATGGTTATGATGGGATCAAAGATACTGTAGGCAGTTCAGTGGGAAAAGGGTGTGTTTGTCTGTGTGTACAGTATACATAGAGTAGCCTATGAGTGTGTGAACTGGACAGTATGCATATTTGTAGCGTGTGTGTTTAAAGCATGTGCATGTATGAGCTGACCTGTGAACTGCTTGCTCTTAATGGAGGCTTCAGAGGCCAAGGCGTGGGACACAGTCATGATCCTCTCCTGCTGCTGCATGGCTATGTCCAAATCAGTGAAGTTCAGTGGGACAGACACACCAGACGACGGACGTATGTTCTGAAAACTGACACACAAGGTGGGAAGGGAATACACACCAGGGAAAAGAGAGACCGAAACAAAGGAAAACATTGAGGAACAAAGGAAAACAGTGTCCCAAATGGCACCCTATTCCCTATGTAGTGCACTACTTTTGACCAAGGCTCATAGGGAATAGAGTGTAGGGAATAGGGCGCTATTTAGGACATAAGGGATTATTGCATTAACTTTTTTATATTGTGCTCTAAAGCTTTTGTAGTTTGCTTAAGTTTCAAGTCAGAACCCAGTTTTAATTTGTAAATTTGATCAAATCAGCCACAGCTCACCCAACACAGGATCCAGGGACCCATGAAATGGGACACACTGACGTAGCCATTATGATGCTTGTGATGCCGTTAATGTTTTCCTTTCTAGGTAACACTTTATTTGAATAGTCCATCTGTAGATGCTCTACAAACTATCTACAGACAATCAGTAACATGTCATCTGCATGTTGAAATGATGAGACACTGTTGAGATGCTACTGAAAGGCCCGAGACATGCTGTTGAAATGATGCTTATAGTCTGTAGAGAAGGGTTTCCCAACTGGCAGCCTGGCCTGCGACATAAAATACTAAAAGAAAAAGCAGCAAATCAGCGCCAAGTAATTTTAATTTTGGAAATCTGTTCCAAAGTATTTCCACGCATAATAGAGAGATATATGTGATCATATAGAAATGTAAGCAAGGTTTGAAATGATCAAGTTTTAGACAAATGTTGTATCTGTTTGGGCTTCTTGCAGTCAATTTGCAGTCTACAAATTATTTGTAATTATGTTCCGGACCCCTGACCATCCGCTCAAGAAAAAAATTGGCCCGTGGCTGAAACTAGTTGATGATCCCTGCTATAGAGCATTTACAGATGGACTATCCAAATAAAGTGTTACCTTTTCTCAATAAGAAGTGCCCAGATTTCTACCATTTCTCATCAATAATCTGCTAGATCACCCTAAATGTCGTCGTTTTTTAAAAGCGACTTTGACATTCATCATCATCATCATCATCCTCATTGTATCAACATGAACTGAATGGCTGAAACTAAGTCAGTAGTACTTAGACTTGGCCAGGATGTTTTTGATGCGTTCTGCTCTGCGTTGACGATCCTCCATCTCCTCCTGGCTCAGAGGCTCCTCGGGGTCTGACTCCACATAGCGCTCTGGGATAGACACCTTTTGGGGCTTGGACAGCTACATAGACCAATCATAGTGAAGATGTCCAGTCAACCAACCAATCCGTATTCAGGCTTAGAACAATATTCACCAATCATCTGTTTAGGTGGTCACACTGTTGGGGTCAGATACATTTATACTTTGCGGTTCTGTATAGTTACGAGGCTCCACAAAAGCAAGGTTATGGGATTGCAGTTGAAAGCATCAGTTCATTGTATGTGGTGAATGGGAAGTAGTATGAGAGCAGCAGGCTACAGACATTCCACTAATTCAAACCCATACACGACTGCATAGTATTAAAGGGGAAGTTCAGTATTTTACAGTAAAAAAAACAAATGAGCATGGTTTACAGTTTCTCCAGGTCCATAGACTACTTTCAGGATGAGGAACCATCTTACATTACGTTTTAAAATACTGAACTTTCTCTTTAACCACTTGTTTACAGAATTACAGATATTCAACCAATAATGGAGAGTATTGACAGGAGAATATTTGGCGCCAGATCCTAAATTAGCCATCGGTGAACGTACCTCACGACTGAGGTCCAGGTCGTAGTCGAGGGGCTCCATGTCTGTCTCCCTCATGGGTGTGGCCATCACCATGAGCCACTCGTCTGATTGGATCCTCTCCATTTCCTTCAGCTCGCTCCGCCCCTCGTCGCTCTGGCCCTCGGCAACCTGTCGCTCTTCCACCTGAGCTTTCTGCTCCTGCTGCTGCTGCAAATCAAAGTCCAGTTGCTCTCGCCTCCACTAGGGGGAGACAGACAACCATTACTTTACCTGACCATTAGGTTTTACATTTTAGTCATTTAGCAGACGCTCTTATCCAGAACGACTTACTGTTAGTGAGTGCATACATTTTCAGAGGCAAAATAAAAAGTAAGTATTATTTCACTTCAATAAGAGACAACACAATACCATCACAGATTGGACCACCCTGTGTAGAACTTAGAGAAAAAACATGCAACAATGTATATTCTATCTGGAGCCGATTTCACAGCACAATTCCTAGTCCTATGAGGATGAACTGCTTCTGTGTTGCGGGGACAAATGAAGTCTTGAGGAGTGAGGACCACGCATCCGAAATCTTGTCTTTCTTGGGCTCTGCACTGTCACCACAGGAGGTCCCTACAGCATCTCCATTCCACCACCAGCAACTTCATTGCATTTAATTGTTTGCAGGATTACCAGAAAGAGGATTTAATTATTAGATTAATGACAGCATCATCAGAACCAACCACCAAAGGATACTGATTAAACTGTGACCACACACACACACACACCTTTGCTTTTCCAAACACATACATAAACACATTTGTGTTATGAGTAAATATCTGTTTGTACTGTATGAGTGTATTTTCTGTGTGTCCTAGTTCTCAAACCCATGCATGCATCATTGCCACTCCAGTGTGTGTAGGCCTCCCATGCTGTGAGGAGAAAGTGCATCACATGCGTTATTGTGCTCAGTGGACAGAGGAAAACCACACACCATAGGGAAAATACATGCATATAAGTTCATCAAAACCCCGCCAAATGGAAAAACACAGCCAGAGGTGATTTATTGAAGCAATATTATTTTATTCTCGAGTGCAAATCTCTACATTGGAAAAGAACAGGTGTGAAGGAGCTGTGCATTGCCTCTCAGTTTAACAGATTAATTTAGCATTAGCTGTCCATTTCATAATGCACTCTGTCTCTAGTCACTTCCTTTTCTTTCTGCTATTTTTTCATCCTCGCTGATAAAAAATAAATACAATTGGGATCGGTAAAAGCAATATGGTGGAATTTACACCTGCCTTGGCGGTAGGCTTGCGGCAGCCATTTTGCTTTTCCTTCTCCTGTAGCGATCAACCACGGTCAAGTACAAAAGTCTTTGTTGTAGTCAAAAAAAGGCTGTGATAATGTTGATGTAGCAGAAACTAAAAACTGAATGGTGTGAATAAGTGACAGTTTAGTGTGTCATGGTAGAATAAAATAATTCAAATGATAAAACAGAGGGAGCCTAAAATGAGAAGTAGTGTAAGATCTGGCTATTATGGTGAAGGCTACAAAATGAAACTTAGTAACCAGCAGGAGTTGATGAACTACGTACTTCCAAATGTTAGTAGGAGCTGGGAACACAAGGGTTGATGGCAAATGTAGTAAGGAGTTTGAGGGTATTGATGATCTCACAGCAATCTGGTTAAGATTGTATGTTAGATAATATATTAGATGGTTAATTAGTCTTTGTAAGGTTGATTCTCCTTGGCTGGCACGCGCAAGAAACCTCAAACATAAGTACGCCAGCTATCTGAAAGCTCATTTAAATCGGATTCTGTGGTAGCCATAGCATGTCATAAGACAAACAGGGCGGAAAAAGTGAGGTTAAAGGTGAATTTTGTGAGAAGAATTGTGGAATTGAGGAATGATTATTCACCAGGAACAAAAGGCACTTTGATTTCATTCGATTCATATCATTTGAAAGATTGAGGGAGCAGGGCGGTTTGGTAATGATTTGTGCCCCTTCCATTTCCCACCGAGTTGATTTGTTCAAACATGGTACACATTTCCCCATCCCCACTTTATCAAATCTCTATAAAATATAATTTTACAAATGTAGAGGCTACTGAAAATATCCTTCAGTAAATAAATACAAATGTACATAAGTGTAAATGTACATAAAATGGGCTTTTCTTTTCTCGTGACAGAGAGAGAGGGAAGGCAGAGCTATGCCTGTAGCCAGTCCCTCTCTTCTTCTCCTTGATATACATTCAGTGTGTGTCAGTGAGGTACCACACGGGGGCACTAGTGATAGGTTTAACTCAACCCATACACCTTAATATGGGGAACAGCTCTGTCTTACAGTCCATATCTGACAGATATCCCCTCCCCTACTCTCCCAAGCAGCCTCCACCACGCTCAGTCCAACTGCTCCATAGCCCAGCCCAGCCAGCCACGGCTTTGTCCCAGCCAGTCCCACCGGCCCTTAGCGTGTTAGCACGATGCTAACGTTACTCAAGTTACTGCCATTGGTTACACATGCGGGAGAGGGTGGGAAAATAGTGTTAGCGTTAGTCGCTTAGCATGTTAGCACTTGCGGAGGCGGCACCTATGTGGGGGGTTCGGCAGGGGCGTGACAGTGGCAGAGGTCCCTGCTTCTGCTGCGGGGGTAACGTACTGAGCCCAGGTCAGTGGAGGAGAGAGGCCTGGTGGAGGAGGAGGAACGATGGGTAGTGGTGTTGGAGGTGGCGTGGCGTTCTCCCTGGCTGAGGTTCCTCTTGCGCTCGCGCACCAGGGCCCTCTGGTGCCTCTTCATGCGCTCCAGCTGCTCCTCTGCGCTCATGCGGCCCCGGGGGGCCTGGGCCAGAGGCTGGGGCTGCTGGTCATAGGTGTACAGCTGCTCCAAAGCACTCTTAGGTCTCTCCTGGGACAGAGAGTGAGAGAGAGAGAGAGAGTGTGAGAGAGAGAGAGAGAGAGAGAGAGTGTGAGAGAGAGAGAGAGAAGTGTGTGCGCAGCGCAGCGAGGTGTGGACCACGCGCGCGCGGTGTGCGCGCGCGCGCGCGCGCGTGTGTGTGTGCCGCGCGCGCGCGTGTGTGCGCGCGCCGTGTGCGCCGCGGCCGTGTGCGCGCGGCGCGCGTGTGGCGCGCGCGCCGCGCGCGCGCGCGCTGCGCCCGCGCGCGCGTGTGTGCCGTGCCCCGCGCGCCGCGTGCGAAAGCGATTGGCCACGCTCGAGCGAGCGCTCGCGCGGATCTTCGGCGAGGGAAACATCGTGAAAGAGATATGAGATGGGTAGTGACATAGGGGTGTGATAGGAAGAGGGGTAAAGGAAAGGGGGAAGAAAGAAAAACAAAGATGCATCTTCTGGACAGAGTGCCGCCGTAAACCCATTCTACGTGTAGAAACAGGCAAAATGACAGCCAGAAGTCGCCAACAGCGGGTGGTCCCTATAACACACCGGGCAAACAGCAAGCAAAAGACAAACGGCCCAGTACTGTGCAGACAGACAATCAGTCTGGTGAATTTTCTCCTTAGGATTAAGAGGTTACTGCATGGCTAATGTCAGCCTTGTTGGCCCTGGTCAAAAGTAGTGCACTATATAGAAAATAGGGTGTCATTTGGATAAAGCTCATATCTCGTTCCTTCCTCTGATTGGTGACTCTTCCTCTCTATTCCTTACATAGTGCACTACTTTTCACCAGAGCAGGCTCTGCGATGGACCCCATGTGTGGTGACTCACCCTCTCTGCAGAGGCGGCCGCCCCTCTCCTCAGGGTCACATAGGAGGAGATGTTACTGGACTGGTTCAGCCTCGACGATGAGCCCGACAGACCTGTTACGGACAGGAAACAGGAAACACTGTCACAGTATGCCTGGGGGGAAACCCATTCTGACACAGCACCACTGATCTGTAGAGACACAGAGTGGAATGTAAGCATAAAACAGGCTGATGATACCTTTGTTTGGGAGGGTCTGGTAGCCCCCCGCAGACCCTGTGCTGCTCCGGCCCATCCCTGGCAGTTCTGGTTCACTCAGGTATGACCGCAGCTCCACCTGAAACGCAATCATACTGCAGTTGTCACAAACTAGATCAGTGAGGTTCGAGTCAACTTAATACAATACATATTGCTCTCAATGAGGTAAAGGCTGCATTCCATTTCAAAATGTTGTCGCCTTTCCCTCAACCCTCATTCCCTCTCCTTCAGAGACGACTGGAAAGGTGTGTTAGCAACTCATTCCCGCTATATTGCCTATTCAGTTGTCTCAGATGCATGAAGATTTGTGAATGAGGGAAGAGGAAAGAGAACTGCTTTTTGGAATAGAATGCAGCCTTTTTGCATCTCGTCAAAGTGACATTGGTCAGTGAGATTTCAGTGATGAGGAAGTTACATGGCTGAGTGACAGTATGATATCGTCATGTAAAACTGGCTTCGATGGTGACAGCTGAAAACAGCAGTGTTTTTGATACCGCAAATGCCACAATTGACTGTTCAACTTTACAAACGGCATCCAATAAAAGCACTGTTGTACGTGCAGCATACACATTAGTAGTACAACAAAGGCTCGTCTTAACAATAAATCACTAAATAAAATAAAGGCTTGTCCTGACCTTAAAGTCTCCGTTGACACACCCTCCGGTCTCTCGGTCTCTCTTCCTCTCGTCTGACTGGCGTTTGAGCCCGCGAACCGACGTGTGTCTTACTACCACCGACGCCTCTTTGGGGAGGGGTGGGATGGCGGGGGGCGGGTCTTCATTGTCATAGAGGTGGGGCAGGGGTGGTCTGGGAGGAGCCTCATCTTCTGCCTGTACCAGAGCCACACCCATACAGGAAGTAAGTCACAATTGGTACTTATTGTCAAGTACCTCAAAACTCATTGGAGGATGAGGCCTGAGGGGAGGGACATTGGAGTGGGCGGAATTAAGGATTTGTCAGCTAGTAACGCTTTGAGACAACCACTGATTAGAAGGGAGTCATTCTACAAACTCAGGGCTATCTAGGTTTCCTATTCAGCTTTACTGTTAAATGTGTTTTAAGTATTCTGACCCTTCACAGCACAGGTCACGTGTCCTCAACTCACTTACTTTAGAATCTCTTTGTACAGTAGCTCCAAACTCACACACTTTTGACAGCTTGACTTTGATTAAACCTATGTCTACATATCCACTCTAATGCAGGACTAACTGCTTTTATAAACTCACCCACTTTGGTCCATGTACAGGTTCGAATCCCCCAGTAAACCCAGATTTACAAACTCAACTGCCACTCACCCATTTTGGCAGTGTGTAGGAGCTGCGAGGAGGGGGCCTAACCTCCCCTACAGGGGGCGTAGCGCTCTGCGAAGTCACTGCAGGATCCGACACTGAAGCCACTAGTTTCCTCTCTGGAAAACAGAAAAACACAGGCAAAGTGCCTACAAATTCACACACAGGCAAAGAATGAAGGTATGACTGACCTCTGTGCTTGTTTGTCTGTCATGGTAAGTGTTAGGATATGGAGGTAGTTTGGTGTAGTTGGTTTTGTAACAATGGTATAGGGAGATTAGATTTGGCTATCTGGTATGGAAAACTACCATGGTCATTTGTCTCCCATGTAGTGTATTGTAGTTAGGAATTCCCCCAAGGGGACAAATAAAGTTGTTTCATCTGAATAGAATTGAGTAAAATATGGTTAAACATAGTAGGTGGGTGTGGATGTCTGGACAGTTGGTGATTTCTCCCACCTGGGTTCTGCACCGAGTCGATTGTGATCTTGTAGTTGGCTTTGCTGGAACTCAGTCCTGCCATCACATCCTCGATCCTCCACAGCTCCCGCTTTATCTCTGTTTTCTCCTGCTGGAAAACATAACACCCGTACGCATGCATGTACACACACAAACACGCAAAGAGAGAGAGAGAGAGAGAGAGAGAGAGAGAGAGCGAGAGCGAGAGAGAGAGAGAGAGAGAAAGAGAGAGGAGAGAGCGAGAGAGAGAGAGTGAGAGAGAGAGAAGAGAGAGAGAGAGAGAAAGAGAGAGGAGAGGAGAGAGAGATGAGAGAGAGGGAGAGAGAGAGGAGAGAGGGAGAGGAGAGAAAGAGAAAGAGAGAAGAGAGGAGAGAACACACACACACACCTTACGCTGGTCTCCATACACTGGCTCATACAACTTAACAACAAAGTATACCCACCCAGTCTACAGTACACGCTTCAAAACAGTGAATAACAACTCTATGTTCTGTTCATGTCTACACCTGTGGACATTGTCCCCGTAGAGTGGAATAGCAGCACTGCACAGCACTGAGCTGTGTTGAAGTGATGTTGAGATGCAGTAGCAGCTCTGACCTGAGGGGTGGTGCTGTGGTTCATGTGGGCCTGTAGCACGGTCCTCAACTGCTCCACTGAGCTCTCCAGCCTGCTGTACTCCTCCCAGGCCCGGGCCATCTCCTACACACAACATGAAGCAGCAGGGTAAGAGAGAGTTTTCATAAACACATAGCGTGGAATGTGTTGGCCAGAGCCACACAGAAGACCATACACTAGGATCTGCATGTATATAACACACACTAGAGCTCTGCGACATCTACACTACCGTTCAAAAGTTTGGGGTCACTTAGAAATGTCCTTGTTTTCGAAAGGACGGCAATTTCTTTGTCCATTAAAATAACATCAAATTGATCAGAAATACAGTCTAGACATTGGCTATTGTAGCTGGAAACGGCTGATTTTTAATGGAATATCTACATAGGTGTACAGAGGCCCATTATCAGCAACCATCAGTCCTTTGTTCCAATGGCATGTTGTGTTTGCTAATCCAAGTTGATCATTTTAAAAGGCTAATTGATCATTAGAAAACCCTTATGCAATTATGTTAGCACAGCTGAAAACTGTTGTGCTGATTAGAGAAGCAATAAAACAGGCCTTCTTGAGACTAGTTGAGTATCTGGAGCATCAGCAATTGTGGGTTCGATTACAGGCACAAAACTTTCTTCTGAAACTTGTCAGTCTATTCTTGTTCTGAGAAATGAAGGCTATTCCATGCAAGAAAATGGCAAGAAACTGAAGATCTCGTACAACACTGTGTACTACTCCCTTCACAGAACAGCGCAAACTGGCTCTAACCAGAATAGAAAGAGGAGTGGGAGGCCCCGGTGCACAACTGAGCAAGAGGACAAATACATTAGTGTCTAGTTTGAGATACAGTCGCCTCACAGGTCCTCAACTGGCAGCTTCATTAAATAGTACCCGCAAAACACCAGTCTCAACGTCAACAGTGAAGAGGCGACTCCGGGATGCTGACCTTCTAGGCAGAGTTGCAAAGAAAAAGCCATATCTCAGACTGCCCTTCTTAATATTTTATTTGTATTGGCCAGTCTGAGATATGGCTTTGTCTTTGCAACTCTGCCTAGAAGGTCAGCATCCTGGTAGAGTACATTGCTTGCTGTTTGGGGTTTTAGGCTGGGTTTCTGTATAAGCACTTTGTGACATCTGACTAAAATCATAACTTTGTGTTAGAAGTGCTTCAACCTCATCAAATACAAGACAAGAGAGATTATTTCATAGAAAATAATAATGTTCCTGGAGTTTTGTCAGAGTTTAGAGTGAAGAAAAGTAGCTAACAGCTAACTGCTCATATGTCTCTTCATTGAGCAGAGCAACCCAAGCGGAGCTATGGATACTCACAGACTCAGAGCGGTCATGAGCATAGCGCATGCAGAGCGAGCTGCACGCAGGGAGTGAGTGACAGACAGAGAGGAGAAGCTAATGGATTTACTAACGGAATAAGGTATTTCTGATTTCGGGCAGGGCCGGGCCTTAAATTTGGCAGAAGCAATCGGTCCTGGGTAGGGTAGGGCCTGAACGTCGTGGGCATGGGTAAGGCCCCCCAACCCCACCCCCACACACAGGTGTGTGTGATGATCTCACCGTGGACACACTGGAGATCTCGGCCCTGATGTGCACCACGTCCTCTTGTAGGAGTCTCTGTTGGTAGGCTATCTTCTCCAGGTGGGCCGCCTGATCTCTGTACTGCTCCATCTGTTGGTGGGACACGTCCAGAACCGACTCCAGCTTGTCCTGACGGGTCAGGGATTAGAGGTCAATATCAGAGACAGCAGGGTCAAGGACAATTCCATTTCAACTCGGGAAATGCACACAATGCTGTCAATTTTGTAAAGATGGAAGAAAAACCATACAAAAGAAAACCCTTTAAATTTGAATAATTTACATGTTTTACCTCATACATTGAATTGACATTGATTTCTTGGCTGATAACAAATTAAACCAGACCCAAATGCAATGAGACACATGAGTATAGAGATGAAGTGTCAGTACCTTATCGTCCTTCAGTGAGCTGATCCGGACCTCCAGTTCCTTCAGGGTCTTGTCCTGCTCACATAACCGACTGAGTTTCACCTGTAGGCCAGGGACAGACAGTGAGACAGACAGAGAGAGACAGACAGGGCTGTTACAGACCTGGCCTGTCCACAGTGGGTCTCAATCTTTCCTACGGTTTCCTACAGTGTGTGTGTGCATCATTTTCCTCCATGTACATGTATCTCCTCCCCCTCTAACATTTCACCAGTTTGTGTGTGTGTGTGTGTGTGTGTGTGTACGTGCGTGCGTGCAAGTCTACGTGCAGAAGTGTGTACGTATCCCTCTCTCCTGTCTCATTAGCTGATAATTATGCAGAGCAAACCCTTTATGCAAATACGCCACATCCCACGCTGCCCTTTTGTCAAAGTGTCTCAGAACCTCAGAGTCCTCCTAATTAATCCCTGGTTAAGGCTGCGTCCCAAATGGCACCCTAGTTCTTATACAGTGCACTTCTTTTGACCAGAGTCCTTGGGGAATAGGGTGCCATTTGGGACGTACCCTAAGAAACCCAAACGTCATGACAAAGGTTGGATCAACTGATCTTCATCTCTCAATTTACCAATTTACGGGCTATTTGTGGGAAACGGCAGTTTTCACGAAGGCAGTAAGATCACAAACACACCGCTCGATGTGAACAAATAGTATTCCATCTAATTAAAGTTGTTACATAAAGTTGCATAATAATTGTTTGTAGTTATAACTATATTAAGTTGCATGGTATCTTTCGCAGGCGCAAACATATGTATAGTGTTTATGCTCAATTTGCCATTCTGTTGAATACATCATGTATTTGTGGTTTTCTCCACGCGCAGTAATATTGCTTTATTGATGCCATGAAATAGTCTGTGCGGATAGAAAAACCCTGGCACCCTTATAAATTGTTAAAGTGCCGAGCTATCAACGCTACACTCTTCAACTCCTTTTGTAGTAGTTACACTCTGATAGGAGAAAAATATTTTTTTTAATGCTACGCTTTTAATATAGAACTGAAAGATTCACGACTTCATACATTTTTCTCTTGAAGTTGAGGTAAATAGCCCACTAAATCCTAGTCAACACTTATTTCATTATTATTTGATTTGATTTATTAAATTTGTATTGCTCACTCTATTCCCCTAAGGGTCTATGGTAGTCAGTGTATCAGTCTCCTCATCTCTGTACCCTTCCAGAAAAGTTTTAAGCTAAAACTCAAAATGTCCTTTTGGGACAAGAGGATATGGAGTGAAAATGTTGTTAAGGGTTGCGGGTGGGAGAGAGAAAGAGAGAGTATGTGAGAGTGGGTATGCGTATTTGTGTGCATTAGTGTGTGAGCAATGCGGAAAACTGCTCTGTTGTGATTCTCGCTCATACTCACATCCACATCACTCTCGGCTACTCTGACAGGTTTCGTTGCTTCTTTCAACGTCTGACTTCCAATCACCTTGGGACCAGAAAAGAAATACATCTTCAAATATTGTTGCTCTATGTACACTCAGTGGCCAGTTTATTAGGTACACCACTGCGTTCACGAAAATGGTTCACTCCTACAGACAGTGAGTCACGTGGCAGTGGCTTGCTATATAAAGCAGGCAGACAGTCATCAAGGCATTCAGTTACTGTTCGATTGAACATTAAAATGGGCAAAACGGGTGACCTAAGCGACTTTGAGCGTGATATGATCGTCGTTGCCAGGCGCACCGGTTCCAGTATCTCAGAAACGGCCGGCCTCCTGGGCTTTTCACGCACGACAGTGTCTAGAGTTTACAGAGAATGGTGCAACAAACAAAAAACATTCAGTCAGTGGCAGTCCTGTGGGTGAAAACAGCTCGTTGATGAGAGGTCGAAGGAGAATGGTATGAATCGTGCAAGCTAACTGGCGTCATGCTGATGATAGAGTCAGGATTTGGCTAAGCAGCATGAGTCCATGGCCCCATCCTGCCTGGTGTCAACGGTACAGGCTGGTGGCCGTGGTGTAATGGTTGGTCCCTTGATACCAATTGACCAACGTTTCTATGCCCCGAAGAATTCTGGCTGTTCTGGAAGCAAAGGGGGGTCCAACCCGGTACTAGATGGGTGTACCTAATAAACTGGCCACTGAGTGTATCTTCTGGTAGGGATATTGGTTGTTGAGGATACTGAAAAGTTACACTGAAAGCACAATGAGGAAACCAACCGTGAACTAACCATGATGGCTTAGAGAAAGTAAGAAAATAGCCATTGACAAATGCAGCCTATATGACACAGAGAGACAAAGAAGATCTTTGCATGAACGCCACTCATAACAATGGCCATCGATTACATTTTTTTTCTCTCCATATCTTTTCATGTCCCTGCATCACAAGAAGATGGACAACAAACCCATTTTAAAACAAAAATGGAATGAGACACTGCTACTTAGGCTACTCCTTACAATACTCCCAGTGTTGGAAATACATAGATTTGTACAACATTTGTTTTTTTGCATTCCTAGAGTATATTCTGAACCAACTGGGTTCAGGGTAAACATGCTGTGTTTTGATGTGTTGTACTGGGGATATATCAAGGAGATATGTTTGATAGATCAACAGGAGGATGGTGCAAGCAGCTAGCTTTTCAACCACCGAACCACTGCACATGCACTGCAGAGCCATCCCAGGCCAGAACCACCAATCACGTCACAGAGGAGTCGAGAGTCAGGGGTTACAGAGGGGTCAATGCCAAGCCAGTACCCACACACAGCCATGGACATAGACACACAGTTTTAAGCGATGGGATGATCTCTCTCATAAACATGTACAGTGGCTTGCGAAAGTATTCACCCCCCTTGGCATTTTTTCTATTTTGTTGCCTTACAACTTGGAATTAAAATTGATTTTTGGGGGGTTTGTATCATTTGATTTACACAACATGCCTACCACTTTGAAGATGCAAAATATTTTTTCTTGTGAAACAAACAAGAAATAAGACAAAGAAACAGAAAGCTTGAGCGTGCAATAACTATTCACCCCCCCAAAGTCAATACTTTGTAGAGACACCTTTTGCAGCAATAACAGCTGCAAGTCTCTTGGGGTATGTCTCTATAAGCTTGGCACATCTAGCCACTGGGATTTTTGCCCATTCTTCAAGGCAAAACTGCTCCAGCTCCTTCAAGTTGGATGGGTTCCGCTGGTGTACAGCAATCTTTAAGTCATACCACAGATTCTCAATTAGATTGAGGTCTGGGCTTTGACTAGGCCATTCCAAGACATTTACTTCTGAAGGTAATTGGTTGCACCAGATCTTATTTAGGGGCTTCATAGCAAAGGGGGTGAATACATATGCACGCACCACTTTTCCGTTATTTTTTTTAAAGATTTTTTTTTAACAAGCTATTTTTTTTCATTTCACTTCACCAATTTGGACTATTTTGTGTATGTCCATTACATGAAATCCAAATAAAATCAATTTAAATTACAGGTTGTAATGCAACAAAATAGGAAAAACGCCAAGGGGGATGAATACTTTTACAAAGCACTGCATACACACACACGCACATACATACACAGTGTGTCCCCAGTGCTTACGTTCCATAGGGGCCTGAGGGGCCCGGCAGTGCAGTGCAGTAGCACACTGTGAGCCATGAGGATGAACGGCTCTAAACTTTTTATCTGCGTCAAATAGGAGATAAAGAGCCACTGTTAAACGGCTGCCGTTTGCTATAAGCAAGTTAGCAATTTGACCATTCATTTGAATATACCCGTTCGTATACCAACTGTTATGTCATATTTACAACAGTATGGAGTCTGCATTATGGTCATGTTGTGCAAGGGCGGATTGGCCGTCTGGCAATTCTGGCAAATGCCAGAAGGGCCGGTCCATCTTTAATTTGGGTTGGCTGGTCGAAATTGACAAAAAATAAAATAACAAATATTATATACAGTGCACTCGGAAAGTATACAGACCCCTTGACTTTTTCCACATTTTGTTATGTTACAGCCTTCCTTCGACCTCATTGCTTGGTTTTTGCTCTGACATGCACTGTCAACTGTGGAACCTTTTATAGACAGGCATGTGCCTTTCCAAATCATGTCCAATCAATTGAATTTACCACAGGTGGAGTCCAATCAAATTGTAGAAACATCTCAAGGATGATCAATAGAAACAGGATGCACCGGAGCTCAATTTCGAGTCTCATAGCAAAGGGTCTGAATACCTATGTAAATAAGGTATCTGTTTTTTATTATTAATACATTTACAAAAATGTCTAAAAACTTGTTTTCACTTTGTTATTATGGGGTATTGTGTGTAGATAGATGAGGAATTGTTTTTCTATTATGCAATGCAAATAGTCCAGGTAGCCATGATTAGCTGTTCAGGAGTCTTATGGCTTGGGGGTAGAAGCTGTTAAGAAGCCTTTTGGACCAAGACTTGGCGCTCCGGTACCGCTTGCCGTGCGATAGCAGAGAGAACAGTCTATGACTAGGGTAGCTGGAGTCTTTGACAATTTTGAGGGCCTTCCTCTGACACCGCCTGGTATAGAGGTCCTAGATGGCAGGAAGCTTGGCCCCAGTGATGTACTGGGCCGTACGCACTACCCTCTGTAGTGCCTTGCGGTCGGAGGCCTTTTGAGGATCTGAAGACCCATGCCAAATCTTTTCAGTCTCCTGAGGGGGAATAGGTTTTGTCGTGCCCTCTTCACGACTGTCTTGGTGTGTTTGGACCATGATAGTTTGTTGGTGATGTGGACACCAAAGAACTTGAAGCTCTCAACCTGTTCCACTACAGCCCCGTCGATGAGAATGGGGTGTGCTCAGTCCTCTTTTTTTCCCTGTAGTCCACAATCATCTCCTTTGTCTTGATCACATTGAGGGAGAGGTTGTTATCCTGGGACCACGTGGCCAGGTCTCTGACCTCCTCCCTATAGGCTGTCTCATCGTTGTCTGTGATCAGGCCTACCACTGTTGTGTCGTTGGCAAACTTAATGATGGTGTTGGAGTCGTGCATGGCCATGCAGTCATGGGTGAACAGGGAGTACAGGAGGGGACTGAGGACGCACCCCTGAGGGGCCCCCGTGTTGAGGATCAGCGTGGCAGATATGTTGTTACCTACCCTTACCACCTGGGGGCGGCCCGTCAGGAAGTCCAGGATCCAGTTGCAGAGGGAGGTGTTTAGTCCCAGGGTCCTTAGCTTAGTGATGAACTTTGAGGGCACTATGGTGTTGAACACTGAGCTGTAGTCAATGAAGAGCATTCTCACGTAGGTGTTCTTTGCCTGTTTGATGGTTAGTCGGAGGGCATAGCAGGATTTCTTATAAGCGTCCGGGTTAGAGTCCCACTCCTTGAAAGCGGCAGCTCTACCCTTTAGCTCAGTGCGGATGTTGCCTGTAATCCATTGCTTCTGGTTGGGGTATGTACGTACGGTCACTGTGGGGACGACGTCATCGATGCACTTATTGATGAAGCCAGTGATGTGGTGTACTCCTCAATGCTATCGGAAGAATCCCGGAACATATTCCAGTCTGTGCTAGCAAAACAGTCCTGTAGCTTAGCATCTGCGTCATCTGACCACTTCCTTATTAACCGAGTCACTGGTGCTTCCTGCTTTAGTGTGTTTGTAGCCATCTACTAGACATTAATACAGTCCTTTTTACTAAACACAAGGCATCATGTATTACAATAAAGTGCATTTTTTTTTTTATCAATGTTTATTCGCTTCTGAATCTCAGTCTCTTCAGCCCAGCGAGTGGGTTTATGAGCTGTAGTAAGAAGTGACTCTGGTGTCGGATGACTTTACATAGCCATCGCCACTGAAGGCTGGAAAGTCCGCCTATGTCTTGATTATTTAATTATCTGAAAGGCCTGTCACTTCTTGGCAGAAAGATAAGAATACGTACACTGTCAAACAAAGCACAGTGTTGAAATCTAGCCGTATCTACATAAACTAGTCCCAGCATCGTTCTTTGACTTACACATAAGGTTGTATATTGAATTCAATAGAAAAACAAAACAGAGCGTAAGGGAGAGAGAGAGAGACTGACATTTCCTTAAATGTAGCCACTGGCTGTATTATACAACCAAAACATTAAGGAACTGGCAGTCTCGCTCTCTCCTTCTCTCTGTTTTCTTCTATTGAATTCCATGTAGACTCATATTTAAAAACTTTCGCTAAGTGGGCAGGGGGGAACACTTGACATGCACTAATTTGAAATATGTAGTGCTTTCAGAAAGTATTCATATTCCTTGGCTTAATACACATTTCGTTGTTACAGCCTGAATTCAAAATGTCTGGTTTTTACCCATCTACACACAATACCCCATAATAACAAAGTGAAAACATGTTTTTAGAAATTCTAGAAAATGTATTGAAAATTAAATACAGAAATATCTCATTTACATACGTTTTCACACCCCTGAGTCAACACGTTAGAGTCACCTTCGGCAGCTATTACAGCTGTGAGTCTTTCTGGGTAAGTCTCTAAGAGCTTTGCACACCTGGATTTTACAATAAAATTCTTCAAGCTCTGTCAAATTGGTTGTTGATCATTGCTAGACAGCGATTAAAACTGCAACTAGGCCACTCAGGAACATTCAAATGTCATCTTGGTAAGCAGCTGTACACTGAGTATACAAAACATTAAGGATGCCTGCTCTTTCCATGGCATAGACTGACCAGGTGAATCCAGGTGAAAGCTATGATCCCTTATTGATGTAATTTGTTAAATCCACTTCAATCAGTGTAGATGAAGGGGAGGAGACAGGTTAAATAAGGATTTTAAAGCCTTGAGACCATTGAGACATGGATTGTGTATGTGTGCCATTCAGAGGGTGATTGGGAATGAAAATATTTAAATGCCTTTAAACAGGGTATGGTAGTAGGTGCCAGGCGCACCGGTTTGTGTAAAGAATTGCAACGCTGCTGGGTTTTTCACGCTCAACAGTTTCCTGTGTGTATCAAGAATGGTCCACCACCCAAAGGTCATCTAGCCAACTTGACACAACTGTGGAAAGCATTGGCGTTAAAATGGACCAGCATCCCTGTGGAACTCTTTCAACACCTTGTAGAATCCTTAATGTTTTGTACACTCAGTGTATAATATAGAGCCAAAATATAAATAAACTGGCAGTACATGTGTCAGTCTCTCTCTCTCGCTCTCTCTCACACATTTGTAAATATTAGTAAGCTAGTTATTAATGCATATACACTGCTCAAAAAAATAAAGGGAACACTTAAACAACACAATGTAACTCCAAGTCAATCACACTTCTGTGAAATCAAACTGTCCACTTAGGAAGCAACACTGATTGACAATACATTTCACATGCTGTTGTGCAAATGGAATAGACAACAGGTGGAAATTATAGGCAATTAGCAAGACACCCCCAATAAAGGACTGGTTTTGGAGGTGGTGACCACAGACCACTTCTCAGTTCCTATGCTTCCTGGCTGATGTTTTGGTCACTTTTGAATGCTGGCGGTGCTTTCACTCTAGTGGTAGCATGAGACTGAGTCTACAACCCACACAAGTGGCTCAGGTAGTGCAGCTCATCCAGGATGGCACATCAATGCGAGCTGTGGCAAGAAGGTTTGCTGTGTCTGTCAGCGTAGTGTCCAGAGCATGGAGGCGCTACCAGGAGACAGGCCAGTACATCAGGAGAAGTGGAGGAGGCCGTAGGAGGGCAACAACCCAGCAGCAGGACTGCTACCTCCGCCTTTGTGCAAGGAGGAGCAGGAGGAGCACTGCCAGAGCCCTGCAAAATGACCTCCAGCAGGCCAAAAATGTGCATGTGTCTGCTCAAACGGTCAGAAACAGACTCCATGAGGGTGGTATGAGGGCCCGACGTCCACAGGTGGGGGTTGTGCTTACAGCCCAACACCGTGCAGGACGTTTGGCATTTGCCAGAGAACACCAAGATTGGCAAATTCGCCACTGGCGCCCTGTGCTCTTCACAGATGAAAGCAGGTTCACACTGAGCACATGTGACAGACGTGACAGAGTCTGGAGACGCCGTGAAGAACGTTCTGCTGCCTGCAACATCCTCCAGCATGACCGGTTTGGCGGTGGGTCAGTCATGGTGTGGGGTGGCATTTCTTTGGGGGGCCGCACAGCCCTCCATGTGCTCGCCAGAGGTAGCCTGACTGCCATTAGGTACCGAGATGAGATCCTCAGACCCCTTGTGAGACCATATGCTGGTGCGGTTGGCCCTGGGTTCCTCCTAATGCAAGACAATGCTAGACCTCATGTGGCGGGAGTGTGTCAGCAGTTCCTGCAAGAGGAAGGCATTGATGCTATGGACTGGCCCGCCCGTTCCCCAGACCTGAATCCAATTGAGCACATCTGGGACATCATGTCTCGCTCCATCCACCAACGCCACGTTGCACTACAGACTGTCCAGGAGTTGGCGGATGCTTTAGTCCCGGTCTGGGAGGAGATCCCTCAGGAGACCATCCGCCACCTCATCAGGAGCATGCCCAGGCGTTGTAGGGAGGTCATACAGGCAAGTGGAGGCCACACACACTACTGAGCCTCATTTTGACTTGTTAAAAGGACATTACATCAAAGTTGGATCAGCCTGTAGTGTGGTTTTCCACTTTAATTTTGAGGGTGACTCCAAATCCAGACCTCCATGGGTTGATACATTTGATTTCCATTGATAATTTTTGTGTGATTTTGTTGTCAGCACATTCAACTATGTAAAGAAAAAACAATTTAATAATATTATTTCATTCATTCAGATCTAGGATGTGTTATTTTAGTGTTCCCTTTATTTTTTTGAGCAGTGTATTTCCTTAAACATCCCGTGTGCTTGTTCTTTTACCAAGTTTCGCGTTTTGTTAATCCCCATTCATGCCATGTCATTCTCAGCTCTACCCCGAGATACAACATGTGTTGGTCATCCAGTGAGTAGTAAGGTGAGTGTGTTAACGTTCGAGATCTTTGGCCAGGCATTAGGCCTAGCTCCAGGGTGAATTTCCCCTAGGTACAGATCCATGATCAGCTTCCCCTCCCCTCCCCTCCCCCAATCCAAACCTTAACCATTAGTAGGGGAAATACAAAACTGATCCAACTTCACCCTACTCTATTAAATTAGGCCTCCACGAGAGGGGGAAACACAGAAGAGGAGAAAGAGAGGGATGAGGAGGAAAAAAGGGAAACTGGAGGAGAGAGAGCATTCCCACCTTCAAGTCTAGATACTCCAGGTCCTTCTTCAGTTGCATGTATGTATCATCAACCTTCGGGGTAGAGTGGAGAGATAAAGAAGTGTCAATCAAAGCTTTACGGCATTACAGTATGGAAGCGTACAACATTTTGACAGCTATACGCTTCCATATTATAGATCTAACTGTATAGTGGGGTTATTAGTTGCTGAATGAATCACTGATACTCCATATGATTATATAGCACTACTCATTAACGTCAAATCTACCATGATGTGTTATAATGATTTCATAATGGATTAGGAATTAAAAGGTGAGATGATTGTAAGTCTATTGTCAAGAATATGCATTTGGATGAATGTCATCTGTTAGGCTTGTTATAAGATGAGTAAAAAGAAAAATGGGGAAAAAGTTAATGTTGTCATCCAAAGCACCCACGCACACACACAGACCCAGACAGATATAAAGTATGCATTCCTAAGTATTGGCACATCACATTTATTTATGAGCTTCTCAATGTTATGCCATCAGAGATGCAAGACGTGCACATACAAAATGGAAGCACACTACAAGCAGCCGCTCCAAGATCAAAAATGGCTCCACTTTGAAGCAAACTAGCAACATCTCAGCCAAACACACTTAAAAAAACACTGAAAATGAGCGAGAGACAGTCCAGGCAGATTTAAAAAATAGAACTGTATCTAAAGTCAACCAGACAGTCTTAGCCTGGGATGACTGTATGGAAGCTAGCTAGCACAACACGACATGCTAACACACAATCCGGCACTACAACATAGCCTAACTTGGAGTGCAAAAACCACCACTACAGGCTGCTACGGCCTTATAGCCTTGTTTGATCAAATGTAACAACTGAAACCAGAACTATTCTGGGTTAGAGACGAAGAGAAACTGGAACGGTTATTTAGAAAATAAGTGTTCCTGGTTGCACATTTTGTTTCAAAAGCATGGAAGATACTGTACGTCAAGATAAGCTATATAACTGAAATAGCAGGTTTTTGTTTAGTTTTTCAGTTTTTCATTTGAATGTACAGTATATATGTACAGTGCCTTGCAAAGTATTCAGACCCGTTGGATTTCTTCAAATGTTATTGTATTACAAAGTGGGATTAAAATGGATTTAATTGTCATTTTCTGTCAACAATCTACACAAATTACGCAAGAAAAATTATAACTAAAATCATAACTAGAAATAACAAAAATATAGCTAACTAACTAAAATATAGTCGTTTTGTTTAGGCAAGCCTAAATTAATTCAGGAGTAAAATTTGGCTTAACAAATCACATACGTTACATAGACTTACAGTGAGGGAAAAAAGTATTTGATCCCCTGCTGATTTTGTACATTTGCCCACTGACAAAGACATGATCAGTCTATCATTTTAATGGTAGGTTTATTTGAACAGTGAGAGACAGAATAACAACAACAAAATCCAGAAAAACGCATGTCAAAAATTTTATTAATTGATTTGCATTTTAATGAGGGAAATAAGTATTTGACCCCTCTGCAAATCATGACTTAGTACTTGGTGGCAAAACCCTTGTTGGCAATCAGAGGTCAGACATTTCTTGTAGTTGGCCACCAGGTTTGCACACATCTCAGGAGGGATTTTGTCCCACTCCTCTTTGCAGATCTTCTCCAAGTCATTAAGGTTTCGAGGCTGACGTTTGGCAACTCGAACCTTCAGCTCCCTCCACAGATTTTCTATGGGATTAAGATCTGGAGACTGGCTAGGCCACTCCAGGACCTTAATGTGCTTCTTCTTGAGCCACTCCTTTGTTGCCTTGGCCGTGTGTTTTGGGTCATTGTCATGCTGGAATACCCATCCACGACCCATTTTTAATGTCCTGGCTGAGGGAAGGAGGTTCTCACCCAAGATTTGACGTCCATCATCCCTTTGATGCGGTGAAGTTGTCCTGTCCCCTTAGCAGAAAAACACCCACAAAGCATAATGTTTCCACCTCCATGTTTGATGGTGGAGATGGTGTTCTTGGGGTCATAGGCAGCATTCTTTCTCCTCCAAACACGGCGAGTTGAGTTGATGCCAAAGAGCTCCATTTTGGTCTCATCTGACCACAACACTTTCACACAGTTCTCCTCTGAATCATTCAGATGTTCATTGGCAAACTTCAGACGGGCCTGTATATGTGCTTTCTTGAGCAGGGGGACCTTGCGGGCACTGCAGGATTTCAGGTCCTTCACGGCGTAGTGTGTTACCAATTGTTTTCTTGGTGACTATGGTCCCAGCTGCCTTGAGATCATTGACAAGATCCTCCCGTGTAGTTCTGGGCTGATTCCTCACCATTCTCATGATCATTGCAACTCCACGAGGTGAGATCTTGCATGGAGCTCCAGGCCGAGGGAGATTGACAGTTATTTTGTGTTTCTTCCATTTGCGAATAATCGCACCAACTGTTGTCACCTTCTCACCAAACTGCTTGGCGATGGTCTTGTAGCCCATTCCAGCCTTGTGTAGGTCTACAATCTTGTCCCTGACATCCTTGGAGAGCTCTTTGGTCTTGGCCATGGTGGAGAGTTTGGAATCTGATTGATTGATTGCTTCTGTGGACATGTGTCTTTTATACAGATAACAAACTGAGATTAGGAGCACTCCCTTTAAGAGTGTGCTCCTAATCTCAGCTCGTTACCTGTATAAAAGACACCTGGGAGCCAGAAATCTTTCTGATTGAGAGGGGGTCAAATACTTATTTCCCTCATTAAAATACAAATCAATTTATAACATTTTTGACATGCATTTTTCTGGATTTTTGTTGTTGTTATTCTGTCTCTCACTGTTCAAATAAACCTACCATTAAAATTATAGACTGATCATTTATTTGTCAGTGGGCAAACATACAAATCAGCAAGGGATCAAATACTTTTTTCCCTCACTGTATAGGGGTTGACATGATTTTTGAATGACTAACTCTTCCTCTGTCCCCCATACATACAACATCTGTAAGGTCCCTCAGTCAAGTATTGAATTCCAAGCGAAGATTCAACTACAAAGACCAGGGAGCTTATCAAAAGCCTCATAAATAAGGACAGTGGTTGGTAGATGGGTAACAATAACAAATCAGACAGTAGGTTAATAATTATGCTGTGTATTATACTGTATTTAAACCACCAAGACACATAAAAGATACAGTCATCCTTCTGAACTGAGCTGCAGGACAGGAATGAAACTGCTCAGGGATGTTACCATGAGGTCACTGGGGATTTTAAAACAGCTACAGAATTCTGTGATGGTAGAAAACTGAGGATGGATCAACAACATTGTCGTTATTCCACAATAATGACCTAAATGACAGAGTGAAAAGAAGAACAGAAATATACAGAATAAAAATATACCAAAACATGCATCTTGTATGCAAGGCACTAAAGTAATACTGCAAAAAAAAAACACTGCAAAGGAATACACTTTTGGCCTAAATGCAAATCCTTCACAACTGAGTAACTGCTTCCTTATTTTCAAGCATGGTTGTGGCTGCATCATGGTCTGGGTATGCTTGACATAGGCAAGTTTTTCCAAGATAAAAAGAAACAGAATGGAGCTAAGCACAGGCAAAATCCTAGAGGAAAACTTGCTTTAGTCTGCTTTACACCAGAGACTGGGAAAGGAAAACACCTTTCAGCAAGACAATAACCTACAACACAAGGCCAAATCTACACTGGAGTTACTTACCAATAAGACAGGGAATTGTCCTGAGTAGCCAAATTACAGTTTTAACTTAAATCTGCTTGAGAATCTATGGCAAGACTTGAAAATGGCTGTCTAGCCATGACCCCCAACATCTAGACAGAGCTTGACGAATTTTTAAAAGAATAATGGGCAAATATTGCACAATCCAGGTGTGTAAAGCTCTTATAGACTTTTGCAAGAAGACTCACAGCTGTAATCAATGCCAAAGGTGTTTCTAACCTGTATTGACTCAGGGAGCTGTATACTTATGCAAAGACTATATTTTAGTTATTTAATTTCTATTAATATATTTTTTAAATGTATACTTTTTCTTGCACTGTGACATTACAGATTATTTTGTAAAAGATTGTTGACAAAAAATTACAATTCAATTAAAACAATTTGTAACACAATGTGAATAAATCCAAGGGGTCTGAATACTTTTGCAAGGCACTGTATATGAATGAATATAATTTATGCGTGCATATATTATAAATGTCTTTGCTACTGTGGATACAGTGTCTTATGAGCTCATGTGGGCTGGGCATCTTGAAGATGCAAGACACTATAATAATGAAACAAATCAAATCATATAGAACGGGACTATGGGGGGCAGCCAGCACAGGTCAACGCTCACAAACAGCCATGCCCAGGTTGAGCTTACATTGGTGGGGTAAAGAAGACCAGGCGTACTGGGGGCCCCCACCTGGCTGCTGCTGCCATGGCCCATGGGGCCTGAGGGGCCTAGTAAGGGCCCCAGATAAGGGCCGGAGGAGAAGAGAGGGTTGTTTTTGGTGGTAAGGAGGTGGGGGCCAGAGGGGCTGTAGTTGAAGTGCTGCAGCTGGGATAGCGTGTGGTGGCGCGCGGCGGCCATCTTTGCCTGATGCCTCCGGAGCTGAATGAGCAGGAGGGTGAGCTCCTCAGGCTGCATGCGTAACAGTAGTGTGTCCCTCGGGGGACAGAGGGAGGGAATGGGGGAATTAACTCAACACCCCAACACAGACAGACCACTCAATGGTTAGCAAAGATACTCAGAGCTGTATAGAATCTATATAGTTAGGTTCAACTGTCGGTCATGTTAGCACCAAAAGTTCTATTCCATTTACATTCAAACTATGCAATCTTACTGGAACGCTAGGGAAAGTGGAGACATCAAAAAAGTCAAACTGTAAATAGTAGTGGAGTCACCAGTTTTGGAGGCAGTGTTACGCTTGCTAGCAAAGAAAGCTGTAGAGTAGCAAACTAGCTAAAATGTTTCACCCCACTGTTAGCCAGGGTATTTAACTAGCTAAAGTTATTTAGAGTTAGTTAGCCACCACTCCTGCACTCTTTTACTAGCTAAAGTAATACTTGTGTTAATAACATGACAAAACAAATGTGTTTCCAGTTGTGTTTACATTTTACAGAAAAGGACGCAATCCACTTTCCAAGTATATTGTTTTGGAACTTTTGATACCAACACGGCAGCCATTCAAATACCTGTATCTACACTGAACAAAAAAATTAACGCAACATGTAAAGTGTTGATCCCATGTTTCAAGAGCTGAAATAAAAGACCCAGAAATTTTCCATAGCACGAAAAGCTTATTTCTCTCAAATCTTGGCAACAAATTTGTTTACACCCCTGTTAGTGAGCATTTCTCCTTTGCCAAGATAATCCATCCACCTGACAGGTGTGGAATATCAAGAAGCTGATTAAACAGCATGCTCATTACACAGGTGCACCTTGTGCTGGGGACAATAAAAGGCCACTCTAAAATATGCAGTTTTGTCACACAACACAATGTCACAGATGTCTCAAGTTTTGAGGGAGCGTGCAATTGGCATGCTGACTGCCGGAATGCCCACCAGAGCTGTTGCCAAATAATTTAATTGTGGATTTCTCTACCATAAGCCGCCTCCAATGTAGTTTTAGAAACAGTAGACCATGTGTAACCACGCTAGCCCAGGACCTCCACATCCGGCTTCTTTACCTGTGGGATCGTTTGAGACCAGCCACCGGGCAGCTGATGAAACTATGGGTTTGCACAACCGAAGAATTTCTGCACAAACTGTCAGAAACCGTCTCAGGGAAGCTTATCTGCGTGCTCGTCGTCCTCCTCTCGTCCTCAGCAGGGGCTTGAACTGACTGCAGTTCGGCTTCGTAACCGACTTCAGTGGGCAAATGCTCACCTTCGATGGCCACTGGCACGCTGGAGAAGTGTGCTCTTCACGGATTAATTCCGGTTTCAACTGTACCGGGCAGATGGCATCATGTGGGCGAGCGGTTTGCTGATGTGAGTGCCCCATGGTGGCAGTGGGGTTATGGTATGGGCAGGCATAAGCTACGGACAACAAAAACAATTGCATTTTATCGATGGCAATTTGAATGCAGAGATACTGTGACGAGATCCTGAGGCCCATTGTCGTGCCATTCATCTGCCGCCATCACCTCATGTTTCAGCATGATAATGCACAGCCCCATGTCGCAAGAATCTGTACACAATTCCTGGAAGATGAATATGTCCCAGTTCTTCCATGGCCTGCATACTCACCAGACATGTCACCCAATGAACATGTTTGAGATGCTCTGGATCGAAGTCTACGACTGCGTGTTCCAGTTCCTGCCAATATCCAGCAACTTCGCACAGCCATTGAAGAGGAGTGGGACAACATTCCAAAGGCCACAATCAGCCTGATCAACTCTATGCGAAGGAGATGTGTCGTGCTGCATGTCGCAAATGGTGGTCACACCAGATATAATGACTGGTTTTCTGATCCACACCCCTATCTATTTTTTTAAGGTATCTGTGACCAACAGATGCATACAGTGGATTTGGAAAGTATTCAGACCCCTTGACTTTTTCCACTTTGTGACGTTACAGCCTTATTGTAAAATTGATTAAATTAATGTTTTTCCTCATCAATCTACACACAACACCCCATAATGACAAAGCGAAAACAGGTTGAAATACATTTTTACAAATGTATAAAAAATAAATAAAACAGAAATATCTTATTTACATAAGTAATTATTCAGACCCTTTGCTATGAGACTCGACATTTAGCTCAGGTGCATCCTGTTTCCATTGATCACCCTTGAGTTGTTTCTACAACTTGATTGGAGTCTACCTGTGGTAAATTCAATTGATTGGACATGATTTGGAAAGGCACACACCTGTCTATATAAAGGTCCCACAATTGACAGTGCATGTCAGAGCAAAAACTCAGAGACAGGATTGTGTGGAGGCACAGATCTGGGGAAGGGAACCAAAAAATTACTGCAGCATTGAAGGTCCCCAAGAACACAGTGGCCTCCATCATTCTTTAATGGAAGAAGTTTGGAACCACCAAGACTCTTCCTTGAGCTGGCCGCCCGGCCAAATTGAGCAATTGGGGGATAAGGGCCTTGGTCAGGGAGGTGACCAAGAACCCGATGGTCACTTTGACAGAGCTGCAGAGTTCCTCTGTGGAGACCGGAGAACCTTCCAGAAGGACAACCATCTCTGCAGCACTCTATGGTAGAGTGGCCAGACGCCACTCCTCAGTAAAAGGCACATGAGACAGCCTGCTTGGAGTTTGCCAAAATGCATCTAAAGGACTCTCAGACCATGAGAAACAAGATTCTCTGTTCTGATGAAACCAAGATTGAACTCTTTGGCCTGAATACCAAGCGTCACGTCTGGAGGAAACCTGGCACCATCCTTACGGTGAAACATGGTGGTGGCAGCATCATGCTGTGGGGAGGTTTTTCAGGAGCAGGTACTGGGAGACTAGTCAGGATCGAGGGAAAGATGAACAGAGCAAAGTACAGAGCGATCTTTGATGAAAACCTGCTCTAGAGCGCTCAGGACCTCAGACTGGGGCGAAGGTTCACCTTCCAACAGGACAACGACCCTAAGCACACAGTCAAGACAACACAGGAGTGGCTTTGGGACAAGTCTCTGAATGTCCATGAGTGGCCCAGCCAGAGCCCGGACTTGAACCCGATCGAACATCTCTGGAGAGACCTGAAAATAGCTGTGCAGCGACGCTCCCCACTCAACCTGACAGAGCTTGAGAGGATCTGCAGAGAAGAATGGGAGAAACTCCCCAAATACAGGTGTGCCAAGCTTGTAGCGTCATACCCAAGAAGACTCGAGGCTGTCATTGCTGCCAAAGGTGCTTCAACAAAGTACGGAGTAAAGGGTAAAAAGCAGAAGATTCTAAAAACCTGTTTTTGCTTTGTCATTATGAGGTATTGTGTGTAGATTGATGAGCGAAAAAAACAATTAAATCCATTTTAGAATAAGGATGTAAAGTAACAACATTTGGAAAAAGTCAAGGGGTCTGAATACTTTCCGAATGCACTGTATCTGTATTCCCAGTCATGTGAAATCCATAGATTAGGGCCTAATGAATTCATTTAAATTGACTGATTTCCTTATATGTTTATATTTTTGTTCAGTGTATATCAGAAACCTGAAATCTGTATGGAGCAGAATGTTGCTGGTTCACATCCCATAGTTGTCCTTGTAAAGAAGTACTGTAGATAAGTTAAGCTAATTGCAAAGTGTCCATGTTATTCAAGAAACACTGGATCCTTGACTTCATGTCGTAATCTAACACAACACGTTTGGGTTGTGACTGGGTGTGTGAGTCCATACCGTTTTCCCGTGAAGGCTGGGCGCGCTGACCGTGTGTGTGATGTAGCTGGAGGAAGGCATGGACCGTCTCTCGATGGTGGCAGCCTGGCGAACACAACACACACACTGCAGTTAACGGTCTTAATCTGCCATTATCACCCACGCAAAATACTGTCATAAAAAATGACATAAACCTGCTATGACACATTCAAGTTTCAAGTTTCATTCACCTTCCTCTTACCTTGAGTAGTTGAGACTTGGCTCTTCGGGGGGACCCAGCCACCGGCACGTCCAGCGCGTATCTCTCCCCCCGGGGCATTACCACCACCCGGTTAGCAGGTGTGTGGGGCCTCCGTGGGGGGGACAGGGCCCTGGAGCCCGGGGGTCCCGGTGGGAGGATGTCGGAGGGGTCTGGGGGCACCGACACACAGCGGGGCACCTCAGAACTGGGTCGCGGGGCCGAGGGTGGCACCGTGGAGGGGGGCCGGGGCCCGAAGGGGTAGTCCGGGGCAGGTGTATAGAGGGGGGCGGTGGGACTGCCGTGGCGGAACTGGTGGCGCTGCTGCCACTCGTAGAGCTGCCACACGGTGCCAGGCCCACCGATGCCACCACCTTCCCTGGAGCCGGTACCCTGGAGGTCTGAGGGTCCGAGTCGGAAGTGGCTGAGGCGGTCTTGGGCGTATTTGTACTCCCCTTGGCGTGCGACGGTGGGGGGGCTCTGGCAGGGGGTCTTTGGCAGCGTCTGGTAGGCCTCCAGGCCAATGAACTTGGGCTGAGTCGAAGGGGTGTGACGGGGGAGCGTGCCCCCTCTAGAGGGGGGGCTATGGGGGAGAGAACAGGGAAGAGGTCGGATGTCAGACAAAAGCAAAGGCTATAAACTTTGTATCATCGTGTTGCTGATCTACATTTCACTGGCTTAGCAGAGTCTGAGTATTGTGCTGAAAGTAAGCCTTATGAGGCTTTGAGCGACACATGCTTGCATTATTCCCAGAGCCTCACTAGAGGGAGATGTTGGCTATGACCCCCATAAATACTTACAGTATTTCAACCATACACTGAAAACTCTTATCTAGTAGAATGTATGCGTGTGTGTGTGTGTGTGTGTGTGTGTGTGTGTGTGTGTGTGTGTGTGTGTGTGTGTGAAAGTACACTCCCAGTCAAAAGTTTGGACACACCTACTCATTCAGGGGTTTTTCTTTATTTTTACTATTTTCTACATTGTAGAATAATAGTGAAGACATCAAAACTATGAAGTAACACATATGGAATCATGTAGTAACCAAAAAAGTGTTAAACAAATCAAAATATATTTTCTATTTGAGATTCTTCAAATAGCCACCCTTTGCCTTGATGACAGCTTTGCACACTCATGGCATTCTCTCAACCAGCTTCATGAGGTAGTCACCTGGAATGCAGTTAATTTGTGGAATTTCTTTCCTTCTTAATGCGTTTGAGCCAATCAGTTGTGTTGTGACAAGGTAAGGGTGGTATACAGAAGATAGCCCTATTTGGTAAATGACCAACTCCATATTATGGCAAGAACAGCTCAAATAAGCAAAGAGAAACAACAGTCCATCGCAAAAACCATGAAGCGCTATGATGAAACTGGCTCTCATGAGGACCGCCACAGGATTGGAAGACCCAGAGTTACCTCTGCTGCAGATGGTAAGTCACCAGCCTCAGAAATTGCAGCCCAAATAAAGGCTTCACAGAGTTCAAGTCACAGACACATCTCAACATCAACTGTTCGGAGGGGACTGAGTGAATCAGGCCTTCATGGTCAAATTGCTGCAAAGAAACCACTACTAAAGGACACCAATAAGAAGAGACCTGCTTGGGCCAAGAAACACGAGCAATGGACATTAGACCGGTGGAAATTTGTCCTTTGGTCTGGAGTCCAAATTAGAGATTTTTGGTTCCAACTGCCGTGTCTTTATGAGACGCGGTGTATGTGAACGGATGATCTCCGCAAGTGTAGTTCCCACCGTAAAGCATGGAGGAGGTGGTGTTATGGTGCTGGTGACACTGTCTGTGATTTATTTAGAATTCAAGGCACACTTAACCAGCATGGCTACCACAGCATTCTGCAGCGATACGCCATCCCATCTGGTTTGGGTTTAGTGGGACTATAATTTGTTTTTCAACAGGACAATGACCCAACACACCTCCAGGCTGTGTAAGGGCTATTTTACCAAGAAGGAGAGTGATGGAGTGCTGCATCAGATGACCTGGCCTCCACAATCCCCTGACCTCAATCCAATGGTTTGGGATGAGTCGGACGACAGAGTGAAGGAAAAGCAGCCAACAAGTGCTCAGCATATGTGGGAACTCCTTCAAGATTGTTGGAAAAATATTCCAGGTGAAGCTGGTCGAGAGAATGACAAGACTGTGCAAAGCTGTCATCAAGGCAAAGGGTGGCTACTGAAGAATCTAAAATCTAAAATATATTTTGATTGGTTTAAAACGTTTTTGGTTATTACATGATTCCATATGTGTTATTTCATAGTTTTGATGTCTTCACTATTATTCTACAATGTAGAAAATAGTAAAAATGAAGAAAAACCCTAGAATGAGTAGGTGTGTCCAAACATTTGACTGGTACTGTATGTGTTTGAATATGCACCACAATAAACATTTGCGAGTGTGCATGCTCATGCTGTGCACGTGTATAAGTTTAAAGTTGTATTAGTCATACAATATGTACGGGATACGCATGGTATACATGGTCCAACGAAATGCTTATAAGAGTAGGCCAATGTGTATGAACTCAAGGATAAACATATGAGTGTCAATGTGTTTGTATTTCTATGCCATTTGAATGCACAATGATAAACACCTAGATGAGCGGTGGTGTGACGTGTGAACCGTGACCTTTACCCTTTGTGCTCGGCCCTCTGCACCTTGACCCAGTGCTCCACCTGCTCCAGGGTGCTCCTCCTCTGCACCTGCCTGTGAGTGTCAACCACCTGGGGGGGCAGCGTGGCCCTCTGGTACGTCCCCGTCCCCATCCCGTTGGGTTCCGGAATGGGTGTCCCGTTCCTCAGACAGGCCCCAGGGGGCAGGGTGTAGGCGCCGCGCGACGGGGCACGTGATGGCGCCCTAGAGGTGGGCGCGGATGTGGGTGCGGATGCTGAGTCTGGAGGTAGGGTGGGAATGGGAGGGAGACTGCTAGGAGGAACGGCGTCCATTTGAATTTCCACGCTTCCGCCGCCAAGGGAAGGAATCTTGGAAGTGATGGGATTTAGAGTGTCGCTCCGGAAGCTACAGCGCTCCTCGGTTTCTCGGATGTCGGCCTGTTTGAGGACCACTCCATCGCTATGGAGATGGAGGTCTGCTCGGGGTTCGCGTGAGGTCTTTGTGTAGTTGTTGACGTGGTTGGTTTGGGGGACCCCCTGGCGTTCCGACACGTTGGGCATTTCCGATTTCTCCGATGTTTCCAATGGCCTAGGAAAGGAAAAGAACGGGAGATGGATGTTTTGGTTTGGCTCTCTATCTCAACACAGGAACAACATCATTATTGACATTGCCATTGTATCAGGACAGTAACTAGGGAAAATTCCAGTAACTTTCCAAAAATTCCCACTTATTTTGCTTCCTCATTTTGTTTCCAGGAGTTATGTTAGATCTTACTTTTTGTAATTTACTAGAGAATCATTATTTCATCCCTTCATATCTCTAATCACAACCAAGTGAGGTGTTAACGTTAGCATAGCATTTAGCCTTGGTTGACACTAACATGAATGAATTGCCCATCAAAATAGGATATAGGTACCTAGCCTCAGCTACAGGGAAAACCAGGCTAATTCCATCTACATGAAAGAGAACTGGGCTACTTAGCATTAGCAAATTAGCGTAGCCTAGCTTCCTGGGTCTCTCAGGCTAGTTAACCTGACAGCCACTTGTGCTAAAACAAATAGCTCAGGGTGTCTAAAGGACTGGCGGGGAATGAGCAGTCATATTTGCACTGATGGACACAATCACTTCCCTCCACTGACACATGAATAATAGATATGAGCTTCTCATTCATCAAATACAGCGTTCCAGGACCGTTTAGTCATAAGAGCCACAGTGAATTGGTTGGCTATAACACGCATATACACGCATGCCGCGCGCACACAAACACACGAGGTGATAAACGTACAGTGGGGTCATTAAGGGGCATGGATGGCCAAATCTGATACTTGTGAACATTAAAACAAGTCTCAAAATCCGCATCAGCCAATTAAAATCGTTGCCGTAGTTGCGCATGATAGTACGCTACATGTTAGCTTTTCCCATCAGATAACCTGGCACACTTAGCCTTATGCTAACAAGACCAGCAGGACATGATTATTTCCTGGAACAAATTCTGCATCAGCCAATTACAAATGTTGATGTAGTTGGATGTGATCGAACACTTTGTCATGAAAGCGTCCTTAACAGTAGTAAAAACGGCATGGTCTGCTATTCTAAGTTACCAAAACACGCACTAAATTGTATCTGTGTAGTGAGCATGGCTCCTGGTAATTTTCAGCGTTTATCGGCAAGTTCGAATCCCAGGAGAGATAGTTTTTGAAATGTAGAATTACATTTGTTGTAATAGTCTGTTTCGAAGGGAAATCAAAACCTTGTAAATGAAGATGACAAATATATTTAAAAAAGGAGCTTCATGGAGTGTCTCTTGCAGACCAACACATAGGCTACAGTGGTGTAATGTTGCCGGAGCGTCGCTCCGCCGCCTCTCAGAATGGTGCTTGTTTAATAAAGTCTAGATCAAAGCTGAATCAATGTCTCACAAGATCACTTTATTTATTCTTCTACATAGGCCTAACATACCGAATATAATTGCATAACGTTACTGTTAGACCAAAAAAACACCTTCATTTGTTATATAGGCTAAACATACATGTACAACGTTTTATATGCATTATTATAGTCATCCACTTTGTCACATATGCATTATTTAAATCGAGCACCGAGGACCAGCAGTGAACTTTTTTTTTCCTTAACATAAACGCTTGACGCGAGGGGGCCTCAAACCCACGGTTACTGTACCCTGAAGATTCACAGTCAACCGCCTTACCAGTATACCCCACCTGGCAGTGATAATGGAGGTACATGACAGCTATTTGACAAGACCATAAGGCTCTTCAACTTTTTCCTTTTCACAATGTACAATAAACTTAAATATTGTATAGACCTCCTTTTATCTATGCTGAAACAGGAAAGGGCCTTCCCCAAACTGTTGCCACAAAGTTGGAAGCACAGAATTGTCTAGAATGTCATTGTATGCTGTAGCATTAAGATTTCCCTTCACTGGAACTAAGGGGCCTAGGCCGAATCATGAAAAACAGCCCCAGACCATTATTCCTCCTCCACCAAACTTTACAGCGTCTGCTAAATGACGTAAATGTAAATGTAAATGTACAGTTGGCACTATGCATTCGGGAAGGTAGCGTTCACCTGGCATCCGCCAAACCCAGATTCGTCCGTCGGACTGCCAGATCGTGAAGTGTGATTCATCACTCCAGAGAACGCGTTTCCACTGCTCCAGAGTCCAATGGCGGCGAGCTTACACCACTCCAGCCAACACTTGGCATTGCGCATGGTGATCTTAGGCTTGTGTGAGGCTGCTCGGCCATGGAAAACCATTTCATGAAGCTCCCGACGACTAGTTATTGTGCTGACGTTGCTTCCAGTTCCGGTCCCATTCTGTGAGCTTGTGTGGTCTACCACTTTGCGGCTGAGCCGTTGTTGCTCCTAGACGTTTCCACTTCACAATAACAGCACTTACAGTTGACCGGGGCAGCTCTAGCAGGGCAGAAATTTGACAAACTGACTTGTTGGAAAGGTGGCATCCTATGACGGTGCCACGTTGAAAGTCACTGAGCTCTTCAGTAAACCATTCTACTGCCAATGTTTGTCTATGGCGATTGCATGGCCATGTGCTTGATTTTATACAACTGTCAGCAACGGGTGTGGCTGAAATAGCCGAATCCACTCATTTGAATGGGTGTCCACATACTTTTGCATATATAGTGTATATGCGAAAACGTGCCTCTGGAATTTTGTCTAACGTTAGTAGCTAGTAGCCTAGTCAAGAATGCGTCATGCAATATTGGCACACTACACTTGTGACAGACCAAGCTGAACAAAAGTAAACCTTGAATTTTTAGGTTTAAAATATCCCTCTGGTTGCCAAGTTGACCTATTTTAAGAAGTACCATTGGTTGGTGGATTTAAAGAATTTGTTAGTGGAAATAATCTCTGCCGGCTGGTCTTGTTAGCATAGTGTGCCAGGTTATCTCACGGGAACAGCTAACATGTAGCGTTGTATCACGTGCAACTACGTCAACGATGATGCAGATTTTGAGACAGTTTAAGTTTAAACTTTTTGGACCCAATATGTTTGCACTTCCACTAAATTAGATCCCCTAGTCTAGACTAGACAGTAGGCACAGCTTGTTGTGAACATGGGAGGCCTCGGTCTCTGCTAGTTCCTGTAGTGTAGTGAAGCGACCTGTCACCCCTGCTATGTGTGTAGACCCACCTGATCTGACAGGGAATCAATCTCTGTCTGATACACATTGCCTCGCTCTCTCTCTCACGCTCTTTCACTATCATTCTTGTCTGTCTCTGTCCGCGTCTGTTCTTCCGTCCGTCTGTCCTTGTCTGTCCTTCCGTCCGCCTGTCCGTGTCTGTCCTTCCGTCTGTCCGTGTCTGTCCTTCTGTCCGTCTGTCCGTGTCTGTCCTTCCGTCCGTCTGCCTGCCTGTCCATGTCTGTCCGTTTGCCCCTCCGTGTCTTTCCGTCCGTTACCGTTCTGTCCGTCTGTCGGTCCGTGTCTGTCCGTCCGTGTCTGTCCGTCCGTCTGTCTCTGTCCATCCATCCGTCCGCCTGTCCGTCCGTCCATCTCTGTCTGACTGTCTGTCCGTCCATCCGTGTGTCCATCTGTCCGTGTCCGTCTGCCTGTGTCCGTCCATCCGTGTCTGTCTGCCTGTCGGACAGACATGGAAGGACAGACACAGAAGGACTGACGTCCGAGCGTCCGTCCGTGTCCGTCGCTTTGTCCGTGTGTGTCCGTCCGTCCCTGTCCGTCCGTCTGTCTGTCTATGTGTGTCTGTCTGTGTGTCTCTCACCCCCTCCTCTCTTCCACATATCACCCTCTTTCTCGCTCACATCTCTCTGTCTTTCATCAGCCCCCCCATCTATTATTCTCTCTAGTCTGTCCATTGCTTTTCCCACCATCACTCTCTTCTTCCATCTCCATCTGTCATTCACTTTCTCGCCATCCTTCTCACATCATAGTTAGGCATCTGTCATAAAGTCTGTGAAACTGTACTATTGTGTGTGTGTGCCTGCACCAATGCAATCTGAGAGCATGCTGAGTGGCATCATGGAGCAAGGCTGGCACAGACACAGCACCCTGCATCACAATGCACTGTCTGCTGCAAGGTCATACAGTATGAAAAATGTATGCACTCACTAACTGTAAATCGCTCTGGATAAGAGCGTCTGCTAAATGACTAAAATGTAAATACAGGCATGCACACGCACTCACACACACACACACAAAGAGCCCAAGAGATTGCAGCTCTGTTTCTCAGCGCTGCCTATCAATGAGACTGACAGAATGGCAAACACAAGGAAACTCATCTCTCTCCCCAGACAAATATATTCAGACACACACACACTTAAGAATTGCCACGGCTAAGTTACATTCACACTACAACGTAGGTCAGATGTGTAACTGCCCAATAAAATATTACCAACTTAACAGTCCCAAAAGTGCAAACTCCCCCACCCCTTCAATTTGTTAAAGCTAAATCAAGCAAACCTCAAGTATTTCAACATATTTCACATGTATATGACCCAGGTCTGGAGTGACAGGTTGACAGACAGGGAGGTTAGGTCCAAGGCAGCGTACCTCTTGGCTCCACAATTACCTGTGCAAATCACCTTTTCTCCTGGACTTTACTATCGGGGGAAAGTGTGAAACGATGTCTCAAAAGGATGGGGGTATCGTCGGAACTGTAGACATGGGACAAAAACCTTTTGACCCACGTGTTTATCAAAGTTTATATATCGATGGGGATTAAACGCACTGACACGGCAACTACATGACAAGAGAGAAGGGAAAACGTTCTACGTACAGAAAGGGTTCCATTTCGTGGGAAAGAAAACTGTTGTTTGATTAGATGATAATGTGAACAAAGTCGCCACTCAGAAAAGAAAGCAGACACAAATAATCCAGATATCTAGGTCAATCGCGCAATTTTTTATCTTTCCCCTATTGTCAAAAAAATATGCATTGGTTAATTCCAACGAGATGTTGATGTTCACAACAGGTGGGTGCTATTTTGGTACAAAACATTTCTGCCTTGTTTAATATTCTAGATGACATCAATCATGAATAAGTAATGTCGCAAGTCTTTGGGTAAAAGCCATGGTGAAAGTTGACGGGAGATTGTGGGGGGGACGGTTACAAATTATCTTTGGGGTGGTCATTTAGAAAGAGCTGGTTGGATAGAGTAATTTCATGCTAATTTACTAATTTGTGCCTATATGTAAATACAAATTGGTTGTTATTTTCAAAACGTTCTATCAATATAATAACAAAACATATAAAAGGGCCATATGTGGTTTAAGAACGTTGGCATTAATCATTTTAAAGAAGAAATTGTCATATTTCACATTCAGTTGCATACCTGAAGTCCCACCAAAATGTCTGGATTACATTAATTCTCTGTCTCTCATTGTTCAGTTGCTATAATTGTTCATTTGCTATAATACATCCATTATTTTATGGATAAAAAAATAAAATAAATATGAGTTGAGTATCTTTCTCCATTATGCAGCTGTTAGATTTCTCAGAAATGTATTTTGGACCTTTCATCAATTTTGACGATCGTTGCGCCTCCGAACCTTAACCATTGGCGGCGGTAATGCAAAACTGACCCAGGATCAGTGTCTAGGGGTAACTTCGCACTACACCTACCTCTTGAGGCTGTCGGTTTGGTTCTGCATCAGCGCCGCCTGGTTCATGGCCTTCACCCAGCCGTTCATGTCATCCTGCGTGTCGGCGCTGAAGAAGTATGACCGCATGCCGCCGTGCTCCACCTGCGAGTCAATCACAGCGCTCCGGTTGTAAATGTACGAGCGCATGCCCGTGTGGTTGGCCTATGGGAGAGGAGAGAGGGAGGGTCAGATTGAAGAAGAGTGATGGACGTGGTGTCTGGCCAATGGGGTAGATAGCAGGGTTGGGGTCAGTTGTGAATTCAGTTATTTCAGGTGAATTTAAATGTAATTCAACAACAAAAAATGGTCTACTATGAACTGAATTGACCCCAACCATGAAAGAGATGGATAGAGAAGTGTTGAACAATTAAGAGAAATAGGGACATCAACCAATGTCTGCCCATGGAGACACAAACACATATCTGTGTTGGCCAATAGAGAAACAGAGATACCAGCCAATGGAGACAAAAGCCAATAGAATAACAGAGAGAAGCGACAGAGTACTCCAGCCAATGGAAAAGGAGAGAGACATCCATACTGACCAATGGACACAGAGTAACATGAGAGACATAACAAGAATGCAAAGGTCCAATCCAACCCACAACAGAGGGCAGTGTAAACCAATCAACAACAAGCAAGCCTAGAAAGAGCCATTGTGATAGAACTTGTGAATTGTTTGTACTAGGCCTACTCTATACATACTTGTCTTATGCTTGTCTCCTATGGAGCGTTCTGATTCTCCACACTTTTCCCAAAGTGTGCACTTGCACACTTCCCATCATGGATTTAACAATGGTGGAACCTCCCTACAGCAGTCAACGCTTACACCAGGGGTGTCAAACGTACGGCCCGCGGGCCGGATCAGGCCCGCAAACGGGTTTAATCCGGCCCGCGAGATGATTATTTTTTTTTAAATAAAAAAATAAAAATTTTTTTTTTTTTTTTTTTTTTTTTTTTGTAAAGTATAAAAATGCGCTGCAATTTTTCAATAAAATAAACTGCTGTTCCAATTGCGTCCACTGGATGGCGCAATAGCAATTGTGTTAAGCAAGCAAACTGTTTATACCGGGGCAGAGCAAGTAGGTCAAGCATGTGCAGCCAATGAGCTACTTTGTTTTGCCCGCGATATTTATTACGGCTTCTACTTTTAACATTATGTGCTTTGGCACCCTCATTGCCCCAATATGTCTCTGTCAAAAAAGAGAAAAGTGGACACAGAGTGCAGAGTGTTCAAAGAAAAATGGTCATCCTATTTATTCACGGAATTGAATGGGAAAGCTGTATGTTTGGTGTGTTCAGAGCATGTTGCAGTGCTGAAAGAATATAACCTTCGTCGCCACTATGTGAGTCTTCATGCCGACAAATATGACAACTTTCAAGGACAGCGGAGATGAGAGAAGGTGAATGAACTGTTGGCGGGTCTGAAGAAACAGCAGTCTGTGTTTACTCACAGCCGAGACATCAATGACGCTGCAGTGAAAGCTAGCTACCTCATTGCTAATGAAATCGCAGTGGCTTCAAAACCATTTAGTGAGGGTGAATTTGTAAAAACATGCATGATGAAGGCAGCGGAGATTGTGTGCCCTGAAAAGCGGCAGGCTTTTGCAAATATCAGCCTGACAAGAAACACAGTTGCAGACAGGATTTCCGATCTTTCAGTGGATTTGGACAGCCAGTTGAAGCAAAAAGTAAAGTCATTTATTGCGTTTTCGGTTGCAATTGATGAAAGCACGGACATTACAGATGTTGCACAACTGGCCATTTTCATCCGCGGAGTTGATGACACATTGACCGTCACCGAGGAGTTCGTGGAGTTGGTGCCGATGACAGATACAACGACAGCAGCTGATATTTTTACCGCACTCGTCGGCGCGCTGGACAGGGTCGGAGTGGACTGGTCCCGCGCTGTCAGCCTGGCTACAGATGGTGCGCCCTCAATGATCGGGAAAAAAGCAGGCGTTGTGACAAAGTTCAGAGAGAAAGTGCAATCTGCAAATGGAGGACGTGATTTTTTGACTTTTCACTGTATTTTGCACCAGGAGGCTTTGTGTTGCAAGTCATTAAAGATGGATAACGTCATGAAGGTGGTCATCCAAACTGTTAATTTCATCCGATCCAGAAGCCTGAATCACCGTCAGTTTGACAGCCTTCTCAGAGAGAAAGACCACATCTATGGCCTGCCATACCACACTGAGGTAAGATGGATAAGCCGAGGTGCTGTGCTGAGGCGTTTCTTTGATTTACGAGAAGAAATTGAACAGTTCATGGAAGAAAAGGGCAAACCAGTGTTAGAATTTCATTCCGCAGAATGGATGCAGGACCTTGCATTTATGGTGGATGTTACAGAGCACCTGAATAACTTGAACAAACAGCTGCAAGGGCGCAACAAAGTTGTCACGCAGTATTATGACAGCATACGTTCTTTCAAGTTGAAGCTGTCATTGTGGGAGACGCAACTTGCGGGTGGTGATGCAGCTCATTTCCCCTGTCTGAAAAATGTGTGCGCGACCCAACATGTGGCAGACATGAAGCGGTTCAAAGATAAAATAACGGGACTGTTACGGGAGTTTGAGCAACGCTTTCAGATTTATGTTTATGTTTTTATGTTGATGTGCTATTGTTTTTAATTGATTTTATTTGTATATTTAACATATTATTGACTCTGTGGTTCTTGCACTTGTTTGGGGAACAGGATTTCATTATTTTTATCTACATTTCTGCCTGAGAAATGACACCCTGATATAGTTCTGTGATCTGTGAAACAGTTCTGTTAATCACTGAGGCATTGTGTGTTTGTGTGTTCTTTTTCTTTAGAATTTTCAAATAAACTTGACGTGTTTTATGATTAATAGTGATGTTGTGCTTGTACTATTTTGGACACACTGTCCTCAGGCTCCAGCTTTATGTTGTATGTTGATCGTATTAAAACAAAGAAAACAATCTGAAGTTGTTGTTTTTAAGTTATATATACCATGATTTTTCCGGTCCGGCCCACTTGGGAATAGATTTTCCTCCATGTGGCCCCTGAGCTAAAATGAGTTTGACACCCCTGGCTTACACCATTCCAATGCTTTAAAAATCCATCACAGGGGGTATTGCAAGTGCACACTTTGGGAGAAGGATGGCTAATCAATATTTCAAGAGACAGTTTTCCTTAGATAGAAGACGGCTATCACTGGCACTGCAAAAGGCAATTATTGAGGCAATCACTCATGCCATCGCCATTATGTAACAAATGAGAGCCAATCTATATGGGGTGTATTCACTAGGAACCAAACTGAGGCAAACAGGCTGAAACGGAGAGGGACCTACCTGAATTTGTCCAATAAGAAACGCTTGTTTTAGTTTTTCCGTACCAAAACGTTTTGCTACAGTATGTGCTAATGAATACACCCCTGCCCCGATTCCCTATTAGTGCACTACATTTGACAAGGGCCCTGGTCAAAAGTAGTGCACTGTATAGGGAATAGGGTGCCATTTGGGACTCATGGTTTTAGTTGGATCTAGACAAAGCAAGGTAAAGGCATCTTATTAACGTGTGATTTTGCCTGGCTCGACATTTGATACAAACATGGCTTTTCGAGTTGAGGCATGGGTGTTGTTAGTGGTGTGAAAACCCTTACAACAGTATACACACACACGTGTATACCACAAGAGGCTGCTGGGGGAGGATGGCTTATAAGAATGGCTGGAATGGAGTGAATGGAATGGTATCAAACACATGGAATCCACGTGTTTGATGTGTTCAATACTATTCCATTTATTCCGTTCCAGCCATTACTATGAGCCCATCCTACCCAATGGAGGTGCACTGGCCACCTGTGGTGTACACACACATTTATGCACACATATATTCACACAAACACACAGACAGACCGTGCTCCTGCAGGTTGACTGAGTGTAATGATAAGCCTCTTGGCCCCAATCAGTAGGTCGAGAAGGTCGGGCCAGAAGGCTGCCTCTACCCCCTGGGGAGGTCTTAAATCTCCTCCCTGGCTAGTCTGGCTTCGGCCTATAGTGTACACTGTGGAATAGGGTGAAGTTGCCCCTAGATCAAGGATCAGCTTCCCCTCCCACGATCCTAACCTTAACCATTAGTGGGGGAAATGCAAAACTGACCATCTAGATGCAGCTTCCCCTTCCTCTGTACACTAGAGTATAGCAGTAGAAGGCCTAACGTAGTTACTAGCAAGGCCACACAGGGGGGTCAGACTGCTGCTGTGTTAATCAGCTGTCTAATCACCCCTCCCTCACTCTTCAGCCTCTTCAGCTATCTGGACAAGCTGCTATCTAATACAGTTCTATATCTGCCCTGTCGTTCATAGTTGGATGTATGTGCATGCCATACACATGCACACACATCTATCAATCCATCCCAACATCTACCCTGTTACTGTAACTATCCAATACCTGCCCTGCCTTTTCAGACCAATATAAGAATGTGAAGACACCGAAACAAACACTGCCTGGTCTCCAATAACAGCCCTTACCACAGCCTCATAGCATTCCTGCTACAGGGAAGAGGCTGAGTGGGACATTCAGTGCACTGTGTGACCACCACACCTCCACAGAGAATGCACACTGCTCACTCTGGGCAAGTCCCCCTCCCTCTCCTCCTCAAAAATAGCCAGCCTGTACTCCCAGACAGGAAGGCTAACAATAGCAGCAGTCCTCTTATTCCTCTCCCCAGCCCCTCTCAGACACGCAGGCCTTTTTTGTCCCGTCTATTCAAAGCCTTCTTATTGTGCAGATAAGCCTGGGGGCCTAGACCGCGTCCCAAATGGCACCCCATTCCCTACATAGTGTACTACTTTTTACCAGAGCCCTATACTATGTAGGGAATAGGGTGCCATTTGGGACATAACCCTGGTCTCTCTAAGCTGCGATAACACAAACTCATGAACTCTCACGTAAAAATATTTTTACATCAATAAACACATGATTCGCACAGAACGTTCTGGAATCCACAATCTCAAAACCTTTCTGCTCTGGGAAAACCATTGGCATAATGGAAATGAATATAGGAACTATATTCTGTATACTAACTGTTGCTTAATGACTGTTGAAGGTTATTAGCCTGGTCCCAATTCTGTTTGTGCTGTCTTGCTGACTCCTATTTTTTATTTAACCCTATGTGGATAGTTGAGCAGTAGGAGTTGTCAAGACAGCACAAACAGAATTGGGACCAGGCTAATAACCTTCAACAGTCGTTAAGCAACAGTGAGTATACAGAATATTCACATCCTCGAGCAAGACGGCACAAACATTTGTTAAGCACTTTGAAATGCATCCCCTGTAAGAAATGTGCTCTATAAATAAACGTTTAATTTGAAACAGATCTGGGACCAGGCCAGAAGGTTTTAGATGCATTCCAAAATAGTCTGCATAAGAGGAGAAAAAAAATATTATTCCACTTAAATAAAATCAATCGATCCACCTCCATGAGTGGCATGCTGGACATGAGACAAAGCAGAGTTCAGCCAACACACACAACAACAGGCATAAGTGAATGAGATCATACAAGACAGAGAAGACGGATAAAATGAAGGGAAACCACGACCACGTCCAAAGGCACACCACTCTCAAAACCATAAGAAATATACACGTTGTTGTATATATTTCCCCTTTTTCAACCACACACTGATGGTAAATGACATGGTAAAAGCAGTAACTCTGGTAAAGTACAATAGGTTGAGAGGGCAGTACCTATTTATGAGTGGACGGTGCACTTGTGTTTCATTGGACGACTTCGCACACTCGCAGGGTCCCAGCGAGGCAGCCCACCAATAGGAACAAGAGAGGGAACAGAGTTCAACGAATAGGGGAGGGGGTACCAGCCTTCTAGCTAGATTGGTTGACTCAACAGTGGTGGGGTGGGGTGGGAAAGTGAGGTTTTAACCATGGGGAAACATTTTTTGGGATGAAGTAGTCAGACGAAACCAAGTAGTACTAACACACTGTAGTAGTGAATGGTTGCAGCACAATCAAACTAACCAGAGGACATAAAACACACACATACACACACAGACAGACCCCTCCAGAGAGACATTGGAGAGTGACCTATTCTGCCTATAGTATAGGGGGTCCTGACAGGGTAGGGTTACAGGTATTGACTGGGGGAAGGGGCAGTACTCCTAACATTCTCCCAACTCTTCCATGGCAGTAACAGGATCTTGGTTTAGGGAGTAGGAAACACAAGCTAGCCATTCTCTATTGTCCCCTCCCTCCGTCTCACTCGTACACGCACACCCATAGCAGTGGGACAGATTGCACAAGAGTGTAGCAGCTCAATATAACCTATGTCTCTGATAACGGCTTAGAGTAGATTACAGAGCCATTCCACAGTCAATCCCAAGATCGCCAGCCCAAATCTCCACTCTGCATTCAATTACATTTGGCCTGCTATAGTGTAACTGCAAACTGAGTTGTAAGAGCCTTTCTCACTGCATTAGTTGAGTCAACAGTAGAGTGAACTGTTAACAAAAACACCACCTATAATAGGACAACCGGATAGCAGTGTTTCTAGGGTTGCAAAATTCTGGTAACTTTCCCAAAGGATTCCTGATTTCCTTCTTATTCCCTACCGTTTCTGGGCCAACCGGGACTTCTGGAAAACCTGGGAATTTTGGGAAAGTTACCAGAATTTTGCAACCCTTGCGGGTAACACCAAGACTGCACAGTTTCGTTTCAGCCCAACACAAGCACACCTTGTTCAACTAATGAAGGGATTCAGTGATTAGGAATAGAATAGAGTAGAATCAGGTGTTCTTGTATTGGGCTAGAAACCATATGCAACCATAGAACTAGAGTTGAGAAACACTGCCTTAGGGCCAGGGTGGTCTGGTTAGGAAGGAAACATTGAATCAACAGTGAAATAACATTGAATCCATGTCGTCAGCCAGGGGCAGAGATTGGAGGCATTACAGGGATTTTTCTGCCATTGAAATCCTTGGGCGGGCCGCCTAAGCGTTTTTTCTGGCCACCTAAATCCAAACAGTGTAAAAACAAAAACGCTTTCAGTGTAAACTGAAACGACTAAAACCAGATGTAAAGTATGTTTGAAAAAAATGCCCTATATATTTTCTTATAATATAATCTTTGAGAACTAACAATCACCAAAATAAAAGCTAGACAGTCAGGGAGAATTGATTTTGTTATTATGTTTGAGCGAAATAACAAAATGCATAGAATCGCAGGAAATGTGCTTTAAAAAACTGCTACATTTTCTCTCAGCTCCATGTAGAAATGTGTAGAATTGCAGGAAATTCTCCACTCAGGCAAGATGGGGGCTACTAAAATGTTCAATCAAATTCAGCCGTGGCGACGGGCCGACCCCTGCCACGCCCCCCACCTAAGCCCCTTTTTGATCTAGAAAAAACCCTGACAAGAGATACTAGGAGACCGACTGGTTGTATCAGTCAGTGACTGGCCTATATTATACGACCAGCCAGGCCTACCGTCTGTCATACAGTCAATAGACTGAAACCTAAACCCCTAATGGCTCTGCATGACAACAGAGGCAAGGCTGTATGTAGTGCGGAAAGGAAACATCACAGAACCACACTGGCTTCCTGTGGGAATGAAACCACTAGCAGAGGATATTAGAGAAAGATGTGGTTAATCTAGAACCAACCACAGATATACAGCTAGCACCACAGTCTGTCACAGGTATACAGTGCCTTCAGAAATAATTCACATCCCTTTACTTTTTTTTTCTTCCACATTTTGTTATGTTACAGCCTGAATTTAAAATGGATTAAATTGATTAGAGCTGTGTTGTCACTGGCCTACACACACAATACCCCATAATGTCAAAGTGGAATTATGTTTTTAGAAATGTTTACAAATGAATACAAAATGAAAAGCTGAACTGTCTTGAGTCAATAAGTATTCAACCCCTTTGTTGTGGCAAGCCTAAATAAGTCACATAATAGTGTGCAATAATAGTGTGTAACATGATTTTTTAATGACTGCCTCATCTCTGTACCCCACACATACAATTCTGTAAAGGTCCCTCAGTTGAGCAGTGAATTTCAAACACAGATTCAACCACAAAGACCAGGGAGGTTTTCTAATGCCTCGCAAAGAAGGGCACCTATTGGTAGATGGGTAAAAATAAAAAAAAGCAGACATTGAATATCCCTTTGAGCGTGGTGAATTTATTCATTACACTTTGGATGGTGTATCAATAAACCCAGTCACTACAGGCATCCTTCCTAACTCAGTTGCTGGAGGGGAAGGAAACCGCTTAGGGATTTCACCATGAGACAAATGGTGACTTTTAAACAGTTACAGAGTTTAATGGCTGTGATAGGAGAAAACTGAGGATGGATAAACTTTGTAGTTACTCCACAATACTAACCCTAACTGACAGAGTGAAAAGAAGGAAGCCTGTACAGAATACAAATATTCCAAAACATGCATCATGTTTGCAACAAGGCACTAAAGTAATACTGCAAATAATGTGGCAAAGTAATTCACTTTTTGTCCTGAATACAAAGTGTTTGGGCCAAATCCAATACAACACATTACTGAGTACCACTCTCCATATTTTCAAGCATAGTGGAGGCTGCATCATGTTATGGGTATGCATGTAATCGTTAAGGACTGGGGAGTTTTTCAGGATAAAAAAGAAGTGGAATGGAGCTAAGCACAGGCAAAATCTGAGAGGAAAACCTGGTTCAGTCTGCTTTCCACCAGACACTGAGAGATGAATTCACCTTTCAGCAGGACAATAACCTAAAATACAAGGCAAAATCTACACCGGATTTGTTTACTAAGAAGACATGAATGTTCCTGAGTGGCCGAGTTACAATTTTGACTAAAATCTACTTGAAAATGATCAATAACCAATTTGACAGAGCTTGAAGAATTTTAAAATGAATAAAGGGCAAATGTTGCACAATCCAGGTGTGGAAAGCTCTTAGAGACTTACCCAGAAAGACTCACAGATGTAATCACTGCCAAAGGTGATTCTAACATGGATTGACTCAGGCGGTTGAATACTTATCTAATCAAGATATATAAATGTTATATTTTTCATGTTTTTTTTTTTTTTTTTTTTTTTTTTTTTTACAAATGTTAGAATTTTCTTCCACTTTGACATTAGAGTATATTGTGTAGATTGTTGACAGAAATTAAAATTTATTTTAATCCTACTTTTTTAACACAACAAACAAGGGGTGTGAATACTTTCTGAAGGCACGGTCGCTCTATGGCATAGGGAGTCCTAAATTATACACTGTAGTATTATACCTACAATATGTCTGTAGAGAAAACCTACGGTTGGAGGCATTGTTGAGAAAATAGCTTTCTTTTGTGGGTGTTTAAAAAAACACAAAAATAATGTATTTATTTATTAGACAAGGAAATTAGAAAGCTAAAAAGTGACCAATACAGAAACTCTTCAATAGCCAATGGGAGGGGAGGATGGATGCAGTTAAATATCTGATTGACTTATTATCCAGAATATCATCAATCATTGATTGACAGAATTCTCCCTGTGAGCATTGTGACCTCACAGTGATGCAATGCCTCTAAGCCAGCGGATGGTCAAATAGAAGTCAATATGAAGCAGAGAACCAATCACATTCAGTCCATTATCTATCAGTCCAACATAAAGCCATAGAATATTAAATTAGTCAAATTAATAAAATAAACAAAAAAACATTAAAAAGACTACAAATAAGATGTGTTAAGAGGCAAACTGAGTCGTACCTTGAAGGCATACTTGCGGCTGATGTGGTCCTCAGGCTCCACGGCTGAGATGACATAGCTGGGCAGAGGAATGCTACCCAGGACTGACTCCTCCCTACTGTCTGTTAGGGGAGGGGGAAGAGAGAGAGCGAGAGACCACAGTAAAATCACAGTGTATCTGAGAAGAGCGGAACCCAACCATGAAGCATCACGGCCCAATAAATGACATGCCACTAAACAGGCCTATAGATGGAGTTCAATTAGTAGCCCAAAAATAAAATCTCTCTAGGACAACTTTTTAACCTTAACATTCTCCTACCGCAGGGTTCCCCAATGGGCCGTTTTAAAAAAAAATTAATTGTTGGACATAAAAGACTATAAAAACACCAGGAAATCATCCCCAAGTGATTTTAATTTAAGTAATCTGTTCCCAAGTATTCCCACGCATAATAGATAGACACATGATCGTATACAAATGTAAGGAAGGTTTGAAATGATTATGTTTTAGTCAAACATTATATCTGTTTGGGCTTTTTGCAGTCTACTAATTACTTGTAATTATGTTCCGGCCACCCGACCATCCGCTCCAGAAAAAAATCGATCCGCGGCTGAATCTAGTTGATGATCCCTGTCCTACAGCAATGAAGGTGTACATTTGGACATTTGGAACACACTTTGTATTTGACAAATTAGCCTCCTTGGCTAATATAAGGAAACATAAGAGCAAACCAAAAATAATAGATAATGAAAAATGGTTTGATAATGATTGCAAAAATCTAAGGAAGTCATTGAGAAATATATCTAATCAAAAATACAGAACCAGACAACAGCAATATCTGCCTTCAATATGGGGAAACACTGAAGCAATACAAAAACACCCTAAGAACAAAAAAGGAACAGCACATTAGAAATCAGCTGGATGTAATTGAGGAATCCATATAATCAAACCACTTCTGGGAGAATTGGAATAAATTGTACAAACCTCATCATGAGGAAGTGGCTATCCAAAATGGTGATATGTGGAGAAATCACTTCGCAAACCTCTACAGCAATATAACAAAGAGCCCAGAACAAAAAGATATACAAGATCAACTACAAATCCTTGAATCAGCAGTCCAAGACTATCAGAATCCTGTGGATATCTCAATTACAGAACAATAATTAACTATACACTCTCCAACCCAAAAAGGCCTGTGGTGCTGATGGTATTTAAAATGATATGTTAAAATATGCAGACCACAAATTCAAATTGGCTATACTCAAACTCTTCAACATTATTTCAAACTCTTCAACATTATCCTCACTGCAGGTATTTCCCCCGATATTTGGAACCAAGGATTGATCACACCAATCTATAAAGATTTAGACAAATTTGACCCAAATAATTAGAGGAATTTGCATTAACAGCAATTTGGGGAAAATTCTCTGCAGTATCATAAATAGCAGACTACTTCATTTCCTTGATGAACACAATGTCCTGAGCAGAAGCAAGATTGGATTTTTAACAAAGTACCGCACGACAGACCACATTTAAACCCGCCACACTCTAATTAACAAACAAGTAGACCAAAACAAAGGCAAAATCTACTCATGTTTTGTAGACTTCAAGAAAGCATGATTCAATTTGGCACAAAGGTCTTTTTTTATAAACTAATAGAATGTGGTATTGGAGGGAAAACATAGGATGTTATTAAATCAATGTGTTCGATTCCCACGGGGGGCCAGTATAATTTTTTTTATATATGTATTCACTAACTGTAAGTCGCTCTGGATAAGAGCGTCTGCTAAATGACTAAAATGTAAATGTAAATATACTAAAAATAAATGTGTGGTTAAAATTGGCAACAAGCAAACAGACTTCTTCTCTCAGAGACGTGGAGTGAAACAGGGCTGCTCAATAAGTCCAACAATATTTAACATCTACATTAATGAATTGGATAAAACATAAGAATCTGCAGCACATGGTGTCACCCTACAAAACACTGAAATCAAGTGTCTGCTGTACACAGATGACCTGGTGCTGCTGTCTGCCACTAAGGAGGGGTTAAGTAGCATCTAGATCATCTGCACAGGTTCTGTCAGACCTGGGCTCCGACAGTTAACCTAAAAACCCAGAATATAATGATATTTCAAAAGAGGTCCGGAAATCAGGATCACAAATACAAATTGTATTTGGACACAGTTCTATTAGAACACACCAAAAACAACATGTATCTAGGACTAAATATTAGCAACACAGGTATCTTTCACATGGCCGTGAACAAGCTGAGAGACAAAGCAAGAAGAGCATTCTATGCAATTAAAAGGAACATTAAAATCGAAATTACAATTACAATCTGGCTAAAAATGTTCCAATCAGTGCTCTATATGGCAGCGAAGTATGGGGTCCACTCTCTAATAATGAATTTACCAAATGGGACAAATCCAATCGAAATACTGCATGCAGTTTTGTAAGACTGTATTGCATGTGCAAAGAAAAAGAGCAAATAACGCATGTAGAGCAGAATTGGGCCAATAACCCCTCCTTATTAGAATAGAAAAAACAGCCATCAAATTTTACAACCATCTAAAAACAAGTGACCCCAAAACATTTCATCACACAGCCCTATAATGTCAAGAGATGAAACAAGAGAAGAGTCCCCTCTGTCAGCTGGTCCTGAGGCTCAGTTCACTAACCCCCATAGAGCCTCAGGACAACACTCAGATAATCTGGCCCAACCAAATCATCACAAAGCAAAAATATATCACCTGTTGGAAAGACGCCACAAAAAAATCAAAGTAAGCTTCAATGCTATTTGGTTCTAAACAGACAGTACATGGTGGCAGACTATCTGACAGAAGAACTGAGAAAAACACTGACTACGTACAGACTCAGTGAGAACAGTCTGGCTATAGAGACCGGTCGTCACAGGCAAACCTGGCTGCCCAGCGAGGACAGGCTGTGCTCACTCTGCTCCAGGGGAGAGGTAGAGACAGAGCTGCATTTCCTATTACACTGTGACAAATACTCAGACCTAAGAGAATCTTTCTTTCCAAAAATGATCATTCAGTAGAAAGAATTTGAAACTATAAAAGATGAAGAAAAAATCTAATATTTATTGGGTGAAAAGGCAAAATGTGCCTCCTGCCACAACCTGAGGGACAGCCAGTGAAAAGAGCAATGTAATGTCAATAATATTTTCCCATTTTGGGAGAGAGAGAGATGTCACTTATGACCCACTAATAACATTTCCCTCCTCCACCACTGTAGTATACCCCCACTCCCCCAACACCCATGTGGCAGTACTCTGCCAAACCAGTCAATAACCGCTGCCCCTTTCAAAGCACTCTGCCAAACCCCCCTTACCCAAACTGGCACTACACTGCCACTCCACTAAATCGCTCTCTGCCCATCCAGTTGGCATGGCCGATTCATACCACGGCTGTCCTCTGCCTGGTTTGGCATCAATGTCATGCCACTATGTTCCCCATCTGACTCTAGAGCCTGGTCATATCTTACTTAGCTCACCCCGCTATAAATACAAGGGACAACTCTCATGGGGGGAGTGTTTCCACCGCTGCACATTGTGACAGAGTGCTAGAATGTGTGTGTGTGCGACAACATGTGGTGGTGTGTGTAGTGGAGTGGAGTGTTTGGTTGATAAGTGAAGGTGGGGGGGGGGGGGGGGGGGGGGGTGTCTGGATTAAAGAGTAATTGGTTAAAAATAAATTCAAGGAGCTTTGAAGGAGACATTCTCCATCTGGGACCCCGCCCAGTAGTTTTATCTGCCCACACACACACACTTCTTATGCAGAGAAATGAACAGATGAATAGAGAGAGAAACAGGGAAAGAGTTGATTGCGGCCGAAAGAGACGAGATGGAGTAAAATGGGAGTAAGATGAAGAGAGGGGAGAGAGAGAGAGATGGAGGAAGAGGGTGAGAGAGCGGGGGAAGGAGTAAAAGTGAACGAGAGTACGTGAGAGAGAGGGGGTTAGACAGCAAGAAAGTGACACGGTGAGAGAGACCTCGGGTTACACATCAGATTAACCACTGATTAAACCTCTGGCTCCCTCATCAACTGGAGACATTCTGGTTCCAATCTCTTACGTAACGCTCTTTTAACCCTCTCCTAACGTTAGGGCAACATTGAGAACGGTTCACGTGGGACAGTGGCTATGGATTAGGACAGTCTGTGTCCCAAATGCCACCCTATTCTCTGAGTAGTGCACTACTTTTCCTGTATAGTTCACTACTTTTGACCAGAAGTATAGTACTAAACAGGGCATAGAGTGCCATTTGGGACTCACCCATTGACTACCAGGGGTCTGGAATGATGAGCACTCGTTGGCGTTGCCAAGATGTGGTTAGAATAAACATGGTGAGAATAAACCAAGTAAAAAGCGTAATGAGTATCCGTATGGCTTATTTCCAGGCTCGTTCGGCAAATACTTTCATTCACGAGGCTCAGCCAAGATCCAAGATTGCCGTCTAGTCTTGAGAAAGGCCCTTTATGAAACTTTGACTATAAATAGCTTCCTTTATGCTCCAATTTTGCCTCTTTTCTATCTCAGCCAATCTAACTTTAATAGGATATTTTGATCTGATTTGATCTGCAAAACACATTATCATCATCACAGTTTTGCTCTGTATTGAAAGTAGTCTGTCTTGAAAACATTATTGCTGACATGCACATGTTTGGAGGAAAGTATTAACAGTGGACAAATGAACAAAATACTAAAAGATGTTCTATGCTCACATCTAGGTGCCAGGTCAGTGCCACCGAAATAGGCCTATAAAGTCATCAAGTCTATTCTTACAGCACTAAAATACCACGTCAAATCTCCCCTAGAGCATGCACACACACACACGCCCGCACCAAAAGCTTCTCACCTTTGTAGTAGAACAGGCAGTAGTCAGCCAACACAAACCACTTCCTCTTCCAAAGCCTCATTCCAGAGCGGTCCTGAAAAAGAAAGCGAGAGAGAATTCAGGCCTACACTCCTTTATTGGCCCGCTATGCTTGCCATCGCTTTTCAAACACTCGCAGCCAGGGGAATGATGGAAGCAGAGAGAAGGGAAAACACACTTCAAACAGATCATCACACACACACACACACACAGTAATTAAGTGCTGCCTGTTTGAATCTTTTCCCTGGTAGGAAGAGCATTGTGTTCATTTCCCCATTGTCATGATAGGGAGTTTGTTTTGGAGGAAAATGGTTTGGTGTTTAAATAGCGTTCCCTCAGAAGTGAGTGTGTGTGTGGTGCGTGAGTGCCTGACAGTCAGTGAGTGAGTGAGTGAGTGAGTGAGTGAGTGAGGGAATGAGTGAGTGAGTGAGTGAGTGATAGAGAGAGAGAGAGAGAGAGAGAGAGAGAGAGAGAGAGAGAGAGAGCGAGAGAGAGAGAGAGCATGCATGCGTGTGTGTCTTTCTGTGTGTGTGTGTGTGTGTGTGTGTGTGTGTTTCCACCGATAATGCGTGTCTATCAGTTAAAGTGAATTGCATTGTGCTTCTCTTCTCTTAGAGTTTTATAATGGGACAGTGCTGGCTTTTCCGAGTTCCAGCGAGGGCAAAGTCACATCCATCTACCTGGCAGACATAAACAGGGTTCAAAGGTCAACCCTGGAGCTCATTAAGACACTGGCTGTATCCCAAATGACGCAGACTATTTCCTATTTGGTGCACTACTTGTGACCAGCTCTGGTAAAAAGCAGTGCACTATATAGGGAATAGCGTGCCATTTGGGACGCACACACACAGAGTGAGAACTGTGTACAAAAACAACGTGTACGATACGATCCATACACCCAGCTACCAGTTTATCCAATCATGTTGTCCTACAGACACCTATCAACCAATGAGCTCTATCCTGTGAGTCTCTGTGTGTCTCTACTAACCAATCAACAGTATCCTGTAGATTTTGCACCCCTTTCTGTGTCAACCAATGAGATTTGTTACCAGTTCCTGTCTACCAATCAACTGACAGCCTGCACACCCATGTCTATCATCTTCATTGGCTTGCTTGTCCCACTATCAGCCAATCAGTGTTGTCCTACAGACACCTTATCAACCAATGAGCTCCATCCTGTTTTTGAAAAGCAACCCAATGCACGTCCATATGATGTGTCCATGACCTCTGTTGCCATGGCAGCCTATGCCAGTACTTCCCAACCCTCTCCTCGGGGACCACCAGACGTTTCACCTTTTTGTTTTAGCCGTAAACTGGCACACCGGACTCAATTAGTCAAGGGGTTGATGATAGGTAGACTAATTGAATCAGGTGAAACGTCTGGTTGTCCCAGAAGAGAGGGTTGGGAAACCCTGATAGACAGTGTGTGTGTGGGCGCGCGTTTCAAGTTTCATTAGTCGTATGTGCCTTCGAGCGTGTAGGTATGCATACGTGTGTGTGTATGTGTGTGTGTGTGTGTGTGTGTGTGTGTGTGTGTGTGTGCGTGTGTGCGTTGCTTACCTGTTTGTAGAGCCATCCTCTCACCACCACGGGGAAATTGGGGTTCCTCTTGATGGACTGCTCTCGCTTCCCAAAACTGTGCACCCTCCCACTGGACCTGGAGCCCTATAGGACACACACCCAGCATACTGGTTAGTTATTTCAACTTTGACCTCACCAGCCCTTACAATTTAGTTTCTACTGATCCATCCTCAATTTCAATCATACTTGAAAGGGGACACAGATTGATTGATTTAATTTAAAACACACACGGCCATGACAGTACATGACGGTCTCTTGTAGGTGAGTTGGAATATGTAGCATGATACACAATAAGAAAATCCCCAATGCTGTTTGTTTTTTAAAGTTAGTTTTTTAAAGTTTCACATTACACATTTTACAGAATGTTCTGATTGGTTGACCCAAACCAATCAAAGTAAGTCGCATTTTTAAGCAAGCCCAGAATCAATTGTGACAATGGTTTACCATAAGCCAAACGCTCACCCACACAAATAACAAGTGAAGAAAAAAATTACTCCCATGAGTATTATAGCAATACACCTCGGGAGCATTCTGTCTTGAGGGGGTGGTGGGGTGGGTGAGACAATCGCTCTTCAGACTAACCAGGAGGCGAGAGTTCAACTAGGTCTGACATGGCCGTTAGAGCTCATTAGCTGCTGCAATGGTCTACAGCGGTAGTGATCATGAGCATAGTTACAGCTGATGAGGTTATAGAGGTAGCCGTCAACAGGACAGTTTGTGGTGGCTGACTGATGCCCTCCGGGTTATGCGTGTGTCTGTGTGATCCTCTCCGTGGTTGAGGATCGATTCGTCGGCCATTAGTGAGACATAGCTGCTGGGTAAGGGCCATGAATCAACCATGCACGCACGTGGCGCACACGCAAACGCCACACATACAGACGCATTCAAGGAAACACGCAGACACGTATGCACACACATCATACACACAAGCTCGCACACGCTAGGGCTGTCCCCGACCAAAAAAATAATCTTGGTCGACCGAGAGTTGTCCTATTCTTTCGACCAATCGATTGGTGGAAATGTTTAAACTGAAACGTATTTTTCCATATACAGACAAACACACCCTATGTGTTCAACTACATAGGCACTGGGCTTGTCTGGTGCTTTAAGCATACCGTTTGTTTAAATAATTAAGACACAAAAATGACTCAAGAAAGAGTCCGATGGTCACAGTGTTAAAACAAATGACAGCAAGTGCCTGTGCGACTGGTGCATGTTGTCTCGCTCTCCTCCCTACAGCTGCGAAAAGGCACCACAGCAAGTGTTCCTTGCGCTGTAAGTGCTGAAGCTGCAACATCATTTCAGCCATTTAGTTTCTTACTTACTTTGACTGAAAAGTTCTGTTACCAAAATCCCAATTTTGTTCAGGAAAAACATTCCCTATTCCCTCAACCCTTGCTCTCTTTACGTGAAACATGTAAGCATCACATGCATGTGACCAATAGGGTCTGACCTATAGCCTATCATAATCACATGAATAAATTGGTTATAAACAAACTCTGAACACAGTAATGTTGACAGCAAAATGGATGCGAAGGACGTGAAAAAGAAACTCGAAACAGGCGAATGTTAACTGGTTGCTCAGGACGGAAAGGAGAAGCCAGATCTGTGGAAGGCATTTGACTTAGTTGTGGAAACTACTAGAGATCAAGAAAAAGGAGGGTGTAGGAGCAAGCGTTGCCTGAGTATTATCTGTGCCAAACAGTTGCTGTTAGATTTACAATATTATATTTTTTTCTAACCATTTGGAACAGTGTAAACAACACTAAATAAATAAGTGTACCAGAGAGTCTGTTCTAATGAAAAAATATATATACAGGAAGCCTTTATTACAGCAGACTAAAAACAGTTGCATGCATTCGTGAATTGCGGTTTATTTATTGTTTAGGCTAATTATTATTGCTTAAAAAGGAGGATGGTGCTTGAATTCATTGTTCTTCCTCTGTTAACCATGGTTACCTGCAAGGAAATGTGCCGTCATCATTGCCTTGCACAAAAAGGGTAAGTAAGATTGCACCTAAAATCAACCATTTATCGGATCATCAAGAACTTCAAGGAGAGAGGTTAAGTTGTTGTGAAGAAGGCGTCAGGGAGCCCAAGAAAGTCCAGCAAGCGCCAGGACCGTCTCTTAAAGTTGATTCAGCTGCGGGATCGGGGCACCACCAGTGCAGAGCTTGCTCAGGAATGGCAGCATGCAGGTGTGAGCGCATCTGCACGCACAGTGAGGCGAAGACTTTTGGAGGATGGCCTGGTGTCAAGAAGGGCAGCAAAGAAGCCACTTCTCTCCAGGAAAAACATCAGGGACAGACTGATATTCTGCAAAAGGTACAGGGATTGGACTGCTGAGGACTGGGGTAAAGTCATTTTCTCTGATGAATCCCCTTTCCGATTGTTTGGGGCATCCGGAAAACACCTTGTCTGGAGAAGACAAGGTGAGCGCTACCATCAGTCCTGTGTCATGCCAACAGTAAAGCATCCTGAGACCATTCATGTGTGGGGTTGCTTCTCAGCCAAGGGAGTGGGCTCACTCACAATTTTGCCTAAGAACACAGCCATGAATAAAGAATGGTACCAACACATCCTCCGAGAGCAACTTCTCCCAACCATCCAAGAACCGTTTGGTGACAAACAATGCCTTTTCCAGCATGATGGAGCACCTTGTCATAAGGCAAAAGTGATAACTAAGTGGCTGGGGGAACAAAACATTGACATTTTTGGTCCATGGCCAGGAAACTCCCCATCCTTAATCCCACTGAGAACTTGTGGTCGATCCTCAAGAGGCGGGTGGACAAACAAAACCCCACAAATTCTGACAAACTCCAAGCATTAATTATGCAAGAATGGGCTGCCATCAGTCAGGATGTGGCCCAGAAGTTAACTGACAGCATGCCAGGGCGGATTGCAGAGGTCTTGAAAAAGAAGGGTCAACACTGCAAATATTGACTCTTTGCATAAAACTTAATGTAATTGTCAATAAAAGCCTTTGACACTTATGGAATGCTTGTAATTTTACTTCAGTATACCATAGTAACATCTGACAAAAATATCTAAACACTGAAGCAGCAAACTTTGTGAAGACCAATACTTGTGTAATTCTCAAAACTTTTGACCACGACTGTACAAGGCATACTAATGATAACATTACGTATTATTATAATGATAACAATAAGGAGATTTTTAAAAAGGAGGGTATAGGAGGGAGGGTTGGTGCATATTATGTGTGACAAACAGTCACTGTTAGATTACAATATAATTTTTCTGCCTGTTAGGAACATTGTAAACAACACTAAATAAATTATCATTAACACCAGTTTGTTCAAAATAAATCAATGGTAAAGATTTTCTTTTGTAAAGCCTTTATTACAGCATAGCAAAGATGAAAAACTGCTGAATCTGTGAAATTGCTTTATCCGACATTTTGCCGTTGCATGAGACTTGGTGATTAAACAAACACTCAAACAGGCAACAGAAGCAGGATCTGTCTTATTTCTGTAGATACATTGATGATTTATAAAGCCAGGCACATTTAACAGTTCGGCTATTGATTATAGACCTAATTTCCTCTCTCCTCAATTTTCTTACACAATTAGGCTAGGGCAAAGGCTGTTTCTTCGTCTCTACTGCTGCTGCCTCCGCCGCATTGTTCTCAATCTCAATATGCTGGTTAACTTTGCTATTATTCACATAGCAACATAGGGAAAGGTGCCAATTCTACGGTGCACTGATTATGTTTCAGAACCGGTGGGCAGCGACCGTATCCAATGTGGGAGACCTACAGCACCCGATGTCACAGGAAGGCCAAAAAGATAATCAAGGACATCAACCACCCGAACCACGGCCTGTTCACCCCGCTATCATCCAGAAGGCGAGGTCAGTGCAGGTGCATCAAAGCTGTGACCGAGAGACTGAAAAACAGCTTCTATCTCAAGGCCATCAGACTGTTAAATAGCCATCACTAGCTGGCTACCACCCGGTTACTCAACCCTGCACCTTAAAGGCTGCTGCCCTATGTACATAGACATGGAATCACTAGTCACTTGAATAATGTTTACATACTGCTTTACTCATTTCATATGTATATACTGTATTCTACTGTATTTTAGTCAATGCCACTCCGACATTGCTCATCCTAATATTATATATTTCTTAATTCCATTCTTTTACTTTTGTGTGTATTGTTGTGAATTGTTAGATACTACTGCACTGTTGGAGCTAGGAACACATGCATTTCGCTACACCCGCAATAACATCTGCTAAATATGTGTATGTGACCAAAACAATTTGATTTGATTTAAAGTAATATTAGACTTATTAGTGTTGCACCATTATTTTGACATAATATAACCATATACAATTTCAGTCTCATGTCTTAGAGTGATGGACTGTGCCATCCCTGTGGCCTCCACAATGGATTAGTCCACTGAGACAGGCACAAATCAGACAGCTGTCTTGTGCACCATAAAACATTTTACAAAAATTGTGACTGCTTGAGTAAAGAAATCTTGGTCGACCAAATGGGGTCAGCCCGATCACCCGCACCAGCCACAAGTCATACAGTACATATAAACACAGACAGACAGACGGTCAGCAATTCACACGCTTAAAGTTCCAAAAATGCTTTCATATACACACCAAAGCATTAATAGGATGTCCTTGTGTGCCACATTCAAATATAGTCTGGGTCCATCTGTTCATGGGGTGGACGTGATTTACCTCTGTGGAGGTGTGTGTGTGCATGCATGTGTGTCCCTATGACCTGAATTACAACCTACTGCTTAGTGCTGTAATGAGCCATTGAAGAAAAGAGAGCGAAGTGTATCATTTATGCAGCATGGACCGGATACGACATGTGCGTGTGGGGGGGGGGTGGGACCATCATTGACCGACACCTCTGACGTCAGCGCTCGACATCATGTGTTCGCTCTCCTTCCCCTTCGCTGAACCGTAACACTTGCAATTCCAGTACCTTAATTGCAGCATTAAACAAGCCCATTAACATCACAAATCACCTAGCAAAGCCCCACTCAACTCCCCTGGCATGTCAGTGATGTGACATGAGGCAAGCTGTGTGTGTGTATATATATATAGATAGTACACTACAGGCCGTGACGTATCCTGTACCCTACACACATCACCTCCCACACACATACACAAAATCACTCCCATCATTTCTATCCAAAACCTGAGCAGGGTGTTACGGCGGAGAGGGTTTCGTTTAACTGGCGGGGTGTGACGGCTACATGTGCTTTAGCGGCGTTGTCGGAAGCTCGGGGACGCTGGCGCTACAGCTCTACAGCTGGTGGGAAGGAAAAAAGTGGCTAATTATACGATTATAAGAACCGCTGCTGACCAAGCGTGGAAGGTAGACACTAAATGGCGGAAGAGCTGTCATAACAGATTCACTTGTCTACGTGGTTTATTGTAGTCTATTTTAAGGCCTGGTAAATTCGTGGAAATATGGAGTGATATTAGGCAAACAGAAATGTAATTTGTTGGCACTTATATCCACCATACAATAGGGTCTCTAATGTAAGATTCAGCTTTTGTCAGTGAAAGGCCATATACAGTACATTCAGAAAGTATTCAGACCCCTTCACTTTTTCCACATTTTGATATGTTACAGCCTTATTCTAAAATTGATTAAATTGTTTTCCCCCCCCTCAATCAACACACAATACCCCATAACGACAAAGCAAAAACAGAACATTTCGCAAATGTATTACAAATAAAAAATAAAAAGCCATATCTCGGACTGCCCATCTTAATCTTTTATTTTTATTGGCCAGTCTGCGATATGGCTTTTTCTTTGCAACTCTGCCTAGAAGGTCAGCATCCCGGAGTCGCCTCTTCACTGTTTACGTTGAGACTGGTGTTTTGCAGGGTACTATTTAATGAAGCTGCCAGTTGAGTACCCGTGAGGCGTCTGTTTCTCCAATTAGACACTAATGTATTTGTCCTCTTGCTCAGTTGTGCACCGGGGCCTCCCACTCCTCTTTCTATTCTGGTTAGAGCCAGTTTGCGATGTTCTGTGAAGGGAGTAGTACACAGCGTTGTACGAGATCTTCAGTTTCTTGGCAATTTCTCGCATGGAATAGCCTTCATTTCTCAGAACAAGAATAGACTGATGAGTTTCAGAAGAATGTTATTTGTTTCTGGCCATTTTGAGCCTGTAATCGAACCCACAATTGCTGATGCTCCAGATACTCAACTAGTCTCAAGAAGGCCAGTTTTATTGCTTCTTTAATCAGCACAACAGTTTTCAGCTGTGCTAACATAATTGCAAAAGGGTTTTCTAATGATCAATTAATCTTTTAAAATGATAAACTTGGATTAGCAAACACAATGTGCCATTGGAACACAGGACTGATGGTTGCTGACAATGGGCCTCTGTATGCCTATGTAGATATTCCTTTTTTTAGTCCTTTCCAGCTACAATAGCCATTTAAAACATTAACAATGTCTACACTGTATTTCTGATCAATTTGATGTTATTGTAATGGACAAAAAAACTTATTTTCTTTCGAAAGCAAGGACATTTCTAAGTGACTCCAAACTTTTGAATGGTAGCGTAGACCCTTTACTCAGTACTTTGTTGAAGCACCTTTGGCAGCGATTACAGCCTCGAGTCTTCTTGGGTATGATGCTACAAGCTTGGCACACCTGTATTTGGGGAGTTTCTCCCATTCTTCTCTGCATATCCTCTCAAGCTCTGTCAGGTTGGATGGGGAGCATCGCTGCACAGCTATTTTCCGGGCTCTGGCTGTGGCTGGGCCACTCAAGAACATTCAGAGACTTGTCCCGAAGCCACTCCTGCATGGTCTTGGCTGTGTGCTTAGGGTTGTTGTCCTGTTGGAAGGTGGGGATGGTGCCAGGTTTCCTCCAGACATGACGCTTGGCATTCAGGCCAAGGAGTTCAATCTTGGTTTCATCAGACCAGAGAATCATGGTCTGAGAGTCCTTTAGGTGCCTTTTGGCAAACTCCAAGTGGGCTGTCATGCGCCTTTTACTGAGAAGTGGCTTCCGTCTGACCACTCTACCATAAAGGCCTGATTGGTGGAGTGCTGCAGAGACGGTTGTCCTTCTGGAAGGTTCTCCCATCTCCACAGAGGAACTCTGGAGCTCTGTCAGAGTGACCATCGGATTCTTGGTCACCTCCCTGACCAAGGCCCTTCTCCCCTGATTGCTCAGTTTGGCAGGGTGGCCAGCTCTAGGAAGAGTCTTGGTGGTTCCAAACTTCTTCCATTTAACAATGATGAAGGCCACTGTGTTCTTCGGGACATTCAATGCTGCAGACATTTTTTGGTACACTTCCCCAGATCTGTGCCTCGACACAATCCTGTCCTTGGAGCTCTACGGACAATTATTTCGACCTCATGGCTTGGTTTTTGCTCTGACATGCACTGTCAACTGTGGAACCTTATATAGACAGGTGTGTGCCTTTCCTAATCATGTCCAATCAATTGAATTTACCACAGGTGGACTCCAATCAAGTTGTAGAAACATCTCAAGGATGATCAATGGAAACAGGATGCACCTGAGCTCAATTTCGAGTCTCATAGCAAAGGGTCTGAATACTTATGTAAATAAGGTATCTGTTTTGTATTTCTAATACATTTGCAAAAATGTCTAAAAGCCTGTTTTCGCTACGTCATTATGGGGTATTGTGTGTAGATTGATGAGGAATCGTTTTTCTTTTATCCATTTTTAGAATAAGGCTGTAACGTAACAAAATGTGGAAAAAGGGAAGGGGTCTGAATACTTTCCGAATGCACTGTACATGCTACATACTCTTTACAGCCATAATTCTATCATCCTGTTTCAGTATGTATTTGTCGGCAATTTACTACCTTGAAGAGAAGACATCTCTTCGACAAAGACTTCAAATAAGGCAACATAATTTGGGAACCATCTAGCACAGACATATTGGTGCTTATTTTCATGAATGCAGAAGAAAGTAAAGCAAAGGATATTGCGTGATTCCTTATAGAGGGAGAGAGGGAATGAGTGGGATCACCTGGCCTGCATCCCAAATGGCACCCTATTCCCTATATAGTGCACTACTTTTGTACTGCACTATAAAAGGGAATAGGGTTATGGTGGTGAAAAGCTGTGGTCTCTCACCATGGTAACTGATGAGTCCCAGTGTGATGGATGCCCTATCGTCTTCCTGTGTGCCACATTCAATCATAATCTGGGGTCACCTGTTAATGGGATGGACATGATTTACCTCTGTTTAGTGGTGTGTGTGTGTCTAAGAGAGAGAAGCGGTGTGAGTGTGTGCTCTCCCGTCCTCTGCCAAAGAGAGGGAGATATGGAGCAAAGGAGAGAGAGCGAGAGAAAGCGAGAGAGAGAAAGGAATGAAAAAGAGCTCATATCATGCTGTTGCTACAGTAGCCTGTTCACTTGGCTTTGCGTAAAAGCCTTAAAGGAATATGGGGAAGTTATGCCACTAAGACCAGTCTTCAAAGTGAAAGTTAGGTAGTGAATCCCCTTTCAAGTTATAAAGGGGTCAGGGGGTGAGTATCAGGTGTATCCCACCTGCGGCTTGAAATGGGCTTGACTGTTCTGCTGGGGTCACAGTAGAGCCTGGAGAGAAGGCCCTGAGCATATTACGTTGAGCCACACACACACACCTCTTGTCACTCGTCACACACACCTGACACACAAACAAGCACGCACACACATTTTACACACAAACACTCTGACCCTGTCACATTCACCCTCCACCTGCACAATTCCATAAAGAAACAGGCGCAGTCCACGTCTAATTCCGTCCAGATCCACACGTCTAACTTTCCCCCTCTGGAGTCTGCAACATTAATTAAACCAGCCTCCTACGGTCAGACAGAAGCCCCCCTCCTCACCACTGTCTGGGGGCTTGGACACAGGTGTGTGAGAGCAGCCACCCTAGCCATTCATCATCACCTAATGTCAGTGTAAATTACTTTCCCCTATATATAGAGTCCGACCAATCGGTTGACTGATATTATCGGCAGATGTTAGCCTTTCACAGAAATATTTGTATCGGCCTTTATTCCACAGATATTATAGACATAGAATAAACAAATACGTATGCTTATTTGCGGTTTTCTGAAGAGGGTGCTCTACGAGCTGCTCATTGAACATGATTCAGCCCTAGGTCACAATGTGAGAGAGAGTAGGCATGTTGGTTTGACGGTGAGTAGCTTGCCACAGCCAGTGTATTTTTATCCACTGCCATAGATACACATCTTTAAGTTGTACCTTAGAAGGTAAACTAAACAAGTTTTACTGTCGTATTTATAGAGGATATAGTTGCTTTTTGGTGGATATCCTGTAAACCACAGAATAAATGTTCTTAAAATATGTTTTTATATATTTTGTTAACAAATCATAATTTAGAGTATCTGCTCATCCTTTGGAGTACAAGGATCAGCAGATATATATATATATCAGTAATCGGTGACTTTTGCCTCCCTAAAATCCCATATCGGTTGGGCTCTACCTATATAGTGCACTTACTTTGACCAGAGCTGGTCGAAAGTAGTGCACTATATAGGGAATAGGGTGCCATTTGTGACGCAGCCTTAGTGAACCCAGGGGGGCTAGGTGCATGAGAATGGCCTGAGAATGTTCAGTGGTCCGTGGAAACGCTGTCCAGACAGTAATGATCAGTGACTTTTTGGTAAAATTAGGAACTATAAAAGCTAAAACAACCATTGGGCTATAGCTCGAAATCAAATACTACAACTAGACAAATCATGACATTGTTGTTGAAAGCCTGGGCAGAGGCTTAGTGCAGGCACATCTTTTCTAATATTATTTTCTGGTGAAGGATCTTCAGCATGGAACAACAGCTTTGTGTGTGTGTGTGTGTAGCGCGCACATGATGAGGCAGTGACAGTCTGATGAGGAACGGTCTTAGTGTAGTGAATTAGGTTATAAATGATGGGCTAGATAGAAGCAGTCTACCATCTTCAGAAATGGATAATAATTGCTTTATTTGCCTCATAATATAATAGTGAATAAATAATATTGTTTGTTATATCTCTCATAAAGCTATGATTGAGAAAAGGCTTAGGCTATAGACTTTCATTATTTTTATTTTTCAAAGCGGAAATACGCTACTGTTCGTAACTTTAACTTATCTTAAAGCTTTTATGGTAGGATAATAGGTTATTGGCCATTTGGTTTTCAAACTCACATGGATGGATTTTCCCAGCGGCCCGCATGGATCATTTCTTTCTTAATAAGCTTAAAAACTTGATAATTCAATTTTTCTATAAGCTATTGATATTGATTGTTCTCGCTCATTATTAGTCCCCTGGCTACCTTAAGTTTTTAGGTTTTTCAAACAGCTTTTTGAGATGGAACTCCGTTACATTCATTATTTGATCGGGAGAAAGTCATGCATAAAAATATGAAAGAGTAGCCTTTGCCCAAAGTCATTCATAGCCTATCGAATGGAGAGACAAGGGAATATAGGCTATGTTTTTTTAAAATAGCTAGACACAAGGGGAGGGAATGGCTGGCAGGGATGTAGCTCAGTTGGTAGAGCATGGCGTTTGCAACGCCAGGGTTGTGGGTTCGATTCCCACGGGGGGCCAGTATGATTTTTTATTTTTTTTAAAGAATGTATGCACTCACTAACTGTAAGTCGCTCTGGATAAGAGCGTCTGCTAAATGACTAAAATGTAAAATGTAAAAATGTAAGATAGTTAAGGAGTGTCAGTTATTTTAAAAAAGAATAGGTTTAGGCTACAGTGCCTTGCAAAAGTATTCAACCCCCTTTATTTAAATGGATTTTTATTTGGATTTCATGTAATGGACATACACAAAATAGTCCAAATTGGTGAAGTGAAATGAAAAAAATAACTTGTTTCAAAAATATCTAAAAAATAAATAACGGAAAAGTGGTGCGTACATCTGTTTTCACCCCCTTTGCTATGAAGCCCCTAAATAAGATCTGGTGCAACCAATTACCTTCAGAAGTCACATAATTAGTTAAATAAAGTCCACCTGTGTGCAATCTAAGTGTCACATGATCTGTCACATGATCTCAGTATATATACAGACCTGTTCTGAAAGGCCCCAGAGTCTGCAACACCAAGCAAGCGGCACCATGAAGACCAAGGAGCTCTCCAAACAGGTCAGGGACAAAGTTGTGGAGAAGTACAGATCAGGGTTGGGTTATAAAAAAATATCAGAAACTTTGAACATCCCACGGAGCACCATTAAATCCATTATTAAAAAATGGAAAGAATATGGCACCACAACAAACCTGCCAAAAGAGGGCCGCCCACCAAAACTCACGGACCAGGCAAGGAGGGCATTAATCAGAAAGGAAACAAAGAGACCAAAGATAACCCTGAAGGAGCTGCAAAGCTCCACAGCGGAGATTGGAGTATCTGTCCATAGGACCACTTTAAGCCGTACACTCCACAGAGCTGGGCTTTACGGAAGAGTGGGCAGGAAAATGCAATTGCTTAAAGAAAAAAATAAGCAAACACGTTTGGTGTTCGCCAAAAGCCATGTGGGAGACTCCCCAAACATATGGAAAAAGGTATTCTAGTCAGATTAGACTAAAATTGAGCTTTTTGGCCATCAAGTAAAACGCTATGTCTGGCGCAAACCCAACACCTCTCATCACCCCGAGAACACCATCCCCACAGAGAAGCATGGTGGTGGCAGCATTATGCTGTGGGGATGTTTTTCATCAGCAGGGACTGGGAAACTGGTCAGAATTGAAGGAATGATGGATGGCGCTAAATACAGGGACATTCTTGAGGGAAACCTGTTTCAGTCTTCCAGAGATTTGAGACTGGGACGGAGGTTCACCTTCCAGCAGGACAATGACCCTAAGCATACTGCTAAAGCAACACTCGAGTGGTTTAAGGGGAAACATTTAAATGTCTTGGAATGGCCTAGTCAAAGCCCAGACCTCAATCCAATTGAGAATCTGTGGTATGACTTAAAGATTGCTGTACACCAGCGGAACCCATCCAACTTTAAGGAGCTGGAGCAGTTTTGCCTTGAAGAATGGGCAAAAATCCCAGTGGCTAGACGTGCCAAGCTTATAGAGACATACCCCAAGAGACTTGCAGCTGTAATTGCTGCAAATGGTGGCTCTACAAAGTATTGACTTTGGGGGGGGTGAATAGTTACGCACGCTCAAGTTTTCTGTGTTTTTGTCTTATTTCTTGTTTGTTTCACAATATAAACATATTTAGCATCTTCAAAGTGGTAGGCATGTTGTGAAAATCAAATGATACAAACCCCCCCAAAAATCTATTTTAATTCCAGGTTGTAAGGCAACAAAATAGGAAAAGTGCCAAGGGGGGTGAATATTTTCGCAAGCCACTGTATAGCTTAAGGCCCATGCATCCGACAGAGAGAAACAATATTTTCTGCCTGGACATTTTGCACTACTTTGTCAGAATTCTCCACTCTGTCTGGCCTACATTCCCCTCTTGCGTTCTGTATATACCATATTTATTGAAACAGGCAATAGCAAATAGAAATAGGCTAATTCCTCGGAATGTCACTTGTGTGCTGCCCGGCTGTGCGCTGCGAGACTCCATTCTTTACTGCGTGGCGCCAGTCAAGTTCAAATAGGCTAAACCATCCATCGTCTGTCACATCACGATGTCGTCACCATCGACGCCGGCTGTCAATCATCGTCGATAGACGATGCTATCGTAATATCGCCCAAACCTACTATACACACTTCACAAACTGGTTTGTAACTTGGTGAGACCGTAGCAGCGGTAGCTATATTCAATTTAATTTCCACCCAAGTTTCAAGTTTTATTAGTCGTATATATGGGATACACATGGTATACATTGTCCAACGAAATGCTTACTTGCTGGTTCCTTCTCGACAATGCTACAATAACAAATAATAAAAGACAAGTAAATGGCTCAGTAGAATAGAATAAACATTTTAGCATAGGTATAATATAGGAAGGCCAGCACAGAAATGAAAACAGAAATGCTCTGTATCGTTTGTGCTTCAAAAAGATAACGTAATTTCAAAACGTCATGTCAAATTGAAGAGGGTTGGGAGAGAATAAATCAATAACGTTTTGGGACTGACCTTTGACCCCGAGGTGGTGTCCACGGTGGAGGTGGTTACAGCGGTAGAAGCCTCGCTGACGGTGCTGGAGGGCCGCAGGTCGGCTTGCTGAGGGTTGGACATGCGGCCGCCCGGCCTGGTGAGAAACAGAGACAGCAGCACAGGGTCACACAGAGCAGACATGACCGTGTGTGTGTGTGTGTGTATAACGACAACTTGAGAGAGACGTACTGGCGAGAGAGACAAACTGTGTGTGTGTGTGTGTGTGTGTTTGTGTGTGTGGTGGTGGGGGGGTTTTGTGTGTATACACAAAAGTGTCATTGAGAAACCTGGGAGAGGATGCGACTCCACACACACAGCTCTGTAGACTGAACACACACACCGTGGAGGGCAAGGACAGAATGGTGTTCTTTGGAGATGAGCCCTTTTGTCTGTACTTTGACCGGAACATCTCTCTTTCAAGCCTCAGGGCCCATATTCATCACATGTGCTGATCTAGGATCAGTTTCGCCTTTTAGGTAATAATGAATAAGATTACATGGACAGGAGGGGACCTGATCCTAGATCAGCACTCCTACTCTGAGACGCTTTATGAACACAGGCCCAGGTTAGCAATCCTTGCACTCAATATCAATAAACATATGGGCATGCCTAATAATGTGGACAGGAGTGGAAGTTCGAGCCCAAAAAAGCCATTATCCAATACATACAGTGCAGTCGGAAAGTATTCAGACCTTCACTTTTTCCACATTTTGTTACGTTACAGCCTTATTCTAAAATTGATTAAATGAATTTTTTCCCTCATCAATCTACACACAATACCTCATAATGACAAAGCGAAAACAGGTTTTTAGACATTTTTGCAAAACAGAAATACCTTTTTTACATAAGTATTCAGACCGTTTGCTATGAGACTTGAAATTGAGCTCAGGTGCATCCTGTTTCCATTCATCATCCTTGAGATGTTTCTAAAACTTGATTGGAGTCCACCTGTGGTAAATTCAATTGATTGGACATGATTTGGAAAGGCACACACCTGTCTATATAAGGTCCCACAGTTGACAGTGCATGTCAGAGCAAAAACCAAGCCATGAGGTTGAAGGAATTGTCCGTAGAGCTCCGAGACAGGATTGTGTCGAGGCAAAGATCTGGGGAAGTGTACCAAAAAATGTCTGCAGTATTGAAGGTCCCCAAGAACACAGTGGTCTCCATCATTCTTAAATGGAAGAAGTTTGGAACCACCAAGACTCCTCCTAGAGCTGGCCGCCCGGCCAAACTGAGCAATCGGGGGAGAAGGGCCTTGGTCAGGGAGGTGACCAAGAACCCAATGGTCACTCTGACAGAGCTCCAGAGTTCCTCTGTAGAGATGGGAGAACCTTCCAGAAGGACAACCATCTCTGCAGCACTCCACCAATCAGGCCTTTATGGTAGTATGGCCAGACGGAAGCCACTCCTCAGTAAAAGGCACATGACAGCCCGCTCGGAGTTAGCCAAAAGGGACCTAAAGGACTCTCACTCCATGATAAACAAGATTCTCTGGTCTGGTGAAACCAACATTGAACTCTTTGGCCTGAATGACAAGCGTCACGTCTGGAGGAAACCAGACACCACTCATCACCTGGCCAATACCATCCCTATGGTGAAGCATGGTGGTGGCAGCATCATGCTGTGGGAATGTTTTTCAGCGGCAGGGACTGGGAGGCTAGTCAGGATCGAGGGAAAGATGAACAGAGCAAAATACAGAGAGATCCTTGATGAAAACCTGCTCCAGAGCACTCAGGACCTCAGACTGGGGCGAAGGTTCACCTTCCAACAGGACAACGACCCTAAGCACACAACCAAGACAACGCAGGAGTGGCTTCGGGACAAGTCTCTGAACATCCTTGAGTGGCCCAGCCAGACGCAGGACTTAAACCCGATCGAAACATCTCTGGAGAGACCTGAAAATAGTTGTGCAGCGACGCTTCCCATCCAACCTGACAGAGATTGGGAGAAACTCCCCAAATACAGGTGTGCCAAGCTTGTAGCGTCATACCCAAGAAGACTCGAGGCTATAATCGCTGCCAAAGGTGCTTCAACAAAGTACTGAGTAAAGGGTCTGAACACTTTTGCAAATGTTATCCGTTTTTTATTTTTAATAAATTAGCAAAAAATTCTAAAAACCTATTTTTGCTTTGTCATTATGGGGTATTGTGTGTAGACGGATGGGGGGGGGGCGGAAACAATTTAATCAATTTTAGAATAAGGCTGTAACATAACTAAATGTGGAAAGAGTGAAGGGGTATGAATACTTTCCGAATGCACTGTAAATCATATAGGCTACTGCACATTACGCACAACAGAAAAACAGAAAACCTCATTGATGTAGCTAGCTATATGTGACTCGTTTCAGGAAACTAGGTGTATGTCGCACGTCACTAATTCACAGGAGAGGCATTTGAACGTAAACATTAAATGTTTTATCAAAATGCATTTTTTGGCAGAAATGTCTTCTGGAACAAGTGAACTTTCATGTGCCTTAATAACAAAGTTGTATGCCATTTGTAAATATGAATACAATTGTTAAATTACGAGCCTAGTTGGTTTAGCCACAGAAAAAGACAGGAACCTTCCCACTAGCCATGATTGGCTAAGATAATGGATGGGCTGGACATGCCGAGTTCGGAGTTCGGATTGGTCTGCCAAGTAGCACGCTTCTGTCTATAACATGAGCTGGTCAGTACGTGTAGGATATCCTATCTAACACCGCTTTTTTGAAAGATATCATGTAATAGAACTTCAAAAGTGTTGCTCTCCACTTTCTGGAGGACAGAGTTTTGAAATCAGTGGAATGCCCGATGAAAGCAGGGTATGATAGCTAAGGAGATGGGGAAAATTCTGGCGTTTGATTGCAAATATGCAGAGGGATTCGAAAAGAGAACACACAAAAGGCTGTTGTATAAAACACCTGTCTCCAGATTACATCTTCAAACTAAGGGCAACCATGGCATCTGTGACATAGAGGGAGAAGCAAGAGGGTCTAGCTAGCTACATTTTCAGATATTATACGTTTCTAATTCTGTCAGAAAGTCGTTTTCATTGCAAGGTAAAGCATACTGTTAGCTGGATAGCTAACATTAGCTGGCTGGCCCGCTAGCTAACATTATGTGTATGATCTGTGTAGTAATATTATTCATATCTCAGAGCCATTTGCATTGCTAGTTATAGCTAGCTAGCTAACGTTGAACCTAGTTGGTTAGCTTTAGCTACCTGCAGATTCATGCAGGGTAGTAACGTTATGAGTTGGATTATGGTTCATTGTTTATCTAGCTAGCTGATGTCTAAACAAAAGACTCCACTATGCAAGTAACCATTTCACTGTACCGTTTACACCTTCTGTATCCTGTGCATGTGACAAATAAACTTTGATTTTATTTGAAATAGTATGTGTTTACCAGAGACTGTAATGTGAAGAACAACATGACCTGCACCAAAGTCAAATTAGGATATAACGTTAGGTCAACGTGTCCAAGTTCTAAAATTCGCCGGTAGAATGCCCTGCTTTTATTTCGTCACACTCACAACCGTAAGCTATTTTCAGTAATTGGATCACCATTAACTTGTAAATAATTGTCACGTTCGTTGAGTACAGGATTGGACCAAGGTGCAGCGTGGTATGCGTACATGTTCGTTTATTGAATAAACACCAAACAAAACAACAAAAGTAACGTGAAGTTCTAAAGGCTAACATAAAACAAGCCAAACAAACAGAAACAAGATCCCACAACATAGCTAGGCAACATGGCTGCCTAAGTATGATCCCCAATCAGAGACAACGATCGACAGCTGCCTCTGATTGGGAACCACACCCAGCCAACATAGATCTACAATATCTAGATCTTACACATAGAAATTCACACCCTGACCAAACCAACTAAAGAAAACCGGGCTCTCAAGGCCAGGGCGTGCCAATAATGATCTTGTTGTGAGTTTATTTTCGTGTAATAATGAATACAAATGAGCTAAAGTGAAGATGGTGTCTGCTATATGATATTGTCATTATTTGAACTGGCTAGACAGCTAACTTAACATTAGCTAGCTAGCTAACAAGCTAGAAACGAACCAAAACATTGTTTAGAAAGTTGCTTTTAGTTGCCTGGTTTGCTAGATTGACATATACTATATAATTTTTAAACGGGTGGGTTTATTGGTGTTAAAATACACCTGTTATGCTATTTTGGACCACCAGTCTGCTGTCATGTCATGCCACCTGTAGTTTTTGTGTTTATACTTTTTCATAATGACAACAAGTTTATCAACTTTCAAAGCAGAATTAATTTCCCATTGTTCCTCAACGGTAGTGTATGATATACAATTTTCTAGCTCTGAGTCTCTACTTTTATCCAATGTAAAAAACACAATTTCAAATTTTGCTACATAAGACCGAATTGAGTCGGTCGGTCACGAATGCCCTCTTGGGTAAATAAATGAAACTAGCTCCAGTAGGCTAATCTTTTTTTAGTGTGAACTGTATTACTGTACTGTATTATATGGACTGAAATTACGCATATCGTTCAAACCATGATAAAGCAGAAGAGAACAGGCGATTCTGGTGCAGCACATGCAGCCTACAAAGTTACAAGTATAGGCTAGCGAATTTGATTTTAATTTTGAAATATTTGTATAATTAGTAGGCTGACATGTACAGTGGGGAGAACAAGTATTTGATACACTGCCGATTTTGCAGGTTTTCCTACTTACAAAGCATGTAGAGGTCTGTAATTTCTATCATAGGTACACTTCAACTGTGAGAGACGGAATCTAAAACAAAAATCCAGAAAATCACATTGTATGATTTTTAAGTAATTAATTAGCATTTTATTGCATGACATAAGTATTTGATCACCTTACCAACCAGTAAGAATTCCGGCTTTCACAGACCTGTTAGTTTTTCTTTAAGAAGCCCTCCTGTTCTCCACTCATTACCTGTATTAACTGCACCTGTTTGAACTCGTTATAGCCTACCGCTATAGCCTACCGCTATAGCCTACCGCAATCGAGTGTTCGCTCTTTCAAACTACCCATGAGTTCTATTGGTTGCTGTATTTAACATTTAGCAAAAAAAAGCTTGCGTCCCTCTTCGAATAGTCTATTGGTAGGCTATAAGAAATGCAACAACAACAAAAAATATTGTCCAGCAAGCTCTTCTAGTCTAGATTTTCCTGCATGGGACTCCAAGAGCTAAGGAGTGTTTTTTAAGGAGAGGCTAGCGGAGCACAGGTGCTTGTGTCTTGTGCAAGAGACAGAGGCTATAAGTTAGAAGCTTATTATGCATAACCCATCATTCATTTGCTAAATATAAAGGCTAATACTGCATTTAATGTATTACCTGAAAGAGGTAGGCTAGGACATCTATATATAGGGCTATACAGTATATCAATGTAGAACAGGATTATCTATTTTGAATGCAATTTGAATGGAGTTGATGGAGAGAGAAAGACTGTGAGAGAGTGCTCGCGCGTGCACTGATTTAAAGCAATGATATTCGAGTGATAGGCTGTTTTAAAATTGCAGACCCCCAAAAAATCTTTATAATAAAAATAAAAAAACAAGGTGACCCTGAAAGCCAGATGGAGATGGGTAAATTAGATTTGACTTTCGGTATTTATATTACTGTAGCATAGGCTGTGCTGCAGCAAATGTAGGCCTACCTGTCACAAGAAAAAAACGTTTCCATTATGAGATGATCGGACTACATGCATTGTGAACTGCACTCCATACTGAGATGTTTTGTCCCCACCCTGAGCCTTGACTCATCATACAGAGGCCGTAGAGAAGCCAGATTTAGACCGCATTTAATTAACAGTTCAATTTCACACTTCTCATATAAATAATTTATTATAATTTACCAGTTTCTCTCAGTTATTTATCCCGGGAAAAGGGAGTGGGTTTTGGGCGTCAAATCCCGGTAAATCTCAGTAACCGGGTTCCCGCCATTCAACCCTAGTTCACACACACACCACACTTTAAAACAGAGGTGAACTACTAACCTATATGGTTAATGGTGTCGTGACATGACTTTCATTGTTGTGATGACTATTATTTATCGAATAATTACCAACTATGTTTAATTGTTACTAGATTAAATTAATCATGTAACAATTAACTCATTAGGAATTTGGGGCACCACGGGAAAAGTTGTTTAACGAGTTACCGTTTCCCAAATTAACTCTAAAGATATATAGATATCTCTTATCATTTAACAGTCATTTATTAATCATTTACCTCATATCAGTCTCATTCTGAAAGTCGTAGGCTCTTTAAGTCTGCACGAACCCGGGTCTTACTGATCATTCCGTACCACACAAATTGATTTAATTATTTATTTACTAACTAATTAAAAATGATAACACAAGATACAAACACATACACGGTATAGGTAGGGATTAGAAACTTAACACAATGAAAATGGGTCCCCAGCGGACTAACACAATATGACACTTGTTACAAAAGATGGCGATTTAAAGAGAGAGAGAGCGAGAGAAAACACTTGGATACACATGGACCTATACTCATAGTAATCCTAATAATTTGCCAAGTACTGCCGCCTGTTTGGTAAGAAGTAATGCATGTATTTACGTGTTTGTCTTCGTCGTCTCTGTTGGACCCAGGCCTTTGTGGGAAGGGTCGATTGGGCCTTCTCTTTTCGGATGGCCTTTTAGATGTAAGATTCAGATGTAAGGCTCAGATTGTCCACAAGAGGTCACAATGTCCTTCTTCTTAGTCGTCTGTTTACTTTCACTCGTTCTGGAAGTGGTCTTCTGAGGACGGCTAATTAGCCGTGTTGATGATCCCCTGTGGGGTGATGAGAGCAGTGTAGTAGACGATGGTTTGAAGAGAGTAACAGGATGGTCCCACTTAAATTCACCGTCTTAGATACAGTACTTAGAACAGCTACTCAGCCGTAACATTGATTGTTAGTGGAGGCAACTTTGTCGTCTTCACCTCGTGTTGATTTTCAGGGTCGGGACCAATATAGAAAACAGCTGCAGCTTGAGGTCTGTCTAGTCTGATCTGATAATTCTTATCTAAGTCTTTTATGCACGCTCTCTGAGCTCCCTCGGGTGTGGCTAGTTACGAGGCAAAAGTATTATTATCACTAGATTTTGTTAGCTTTCTAAAATCACATTCCTATCTTCACGGAAACATTGTCTTCCTCCTTGATATTTTCTACCCAAGGTAAAGGATGTAAGCCTGATATACACAGTGTAAAAGCTCTTCAAGTTGCAATGTTTTCTTTATAACGCCTTTATACAATTTTTTTTATAACGCCTTTATACCACGTTTGGATGTTGAAATATATTGCCCCAATGTTCATTGTTGGATGTTGAAGTTTTTGGGCGGCAAAAGTCTCTGAAACAAAGGACATTCCTTTCACCATACTACAGGGCCAGAGATAGATTCATGACAATGGTCTTTAACAGTGTATTCATCAATCATTACAGTACACCGTCAGGCATACAGTATTGTACGGTCAATCGAGAATATCGTGGACAGCGATGACAGTGAACTATTATTACCTAGCCAAACGTGTTGACTACATGCTACAACTAATCTATAGTATGACAACACTACATAAACACGGTTGACCACAGAGGACCTTCAAATGTCATCGACTCTTAATAACCACCATGCCATCCTTGCGTATCATTGGTAATGTTTAGTTACGTCCCAAATGGCACCCTATTCTCTATGTAGTGCACTACTTTTGACCAGGGCACATAGGGGCCTGGTCAAAAGTAGTGCATTACATAGGGAATAGGGTGCCATTTGAGATGTAGCCCTTGTTATACCGCAGTGAGGATATATCTGGAAATCCTTGTGATTAGTTTCTTCATTGAGAAACAGTGTGTGTGCTGTGCTCTGAAACACTCCACTATAGAGATCTAGCCGAATTACCTATTAATGCTTGGCGCACGCACAGACGCACACACAGAAATCCACAGCAGTCCACCCTCATGTATTCCTGCCCTCGAACATCCGACAGCTACTACTGCGCTCTGGTATGGACAGAGCGACAAATCACATTAACAATGGCTGGGCACAGACATGGTCGGCCAACACTGGAATCACTTGGAGCTCATTTCCCATTCACACAATGTAAATCTCACAGTACAGTGTGGGCAAGAGAGGGAGAAAGAGGGAGAGAGAGAAAAACGTATCTAGTTCTAAAGACCAAGTGTTCCAGAGGATTTTTCACAGATTGTACTAAATTTGGCTCAAAAGCCAAATGTCTAAAAACGGATATTCCTCAGACATGTAATGGATTCAGTGCATAGTGAACAGAACTTTATTTTGGTCCTGGACTAAAATTAGTATGCTCACAATCTTAAAGAATTGTTTCTCAGACAAGAACAGCTGATATAGGATCAGTTTAGCCTTGAAAATCATAATGAATTAGATTATAGATGGAGAGCGGGGGGGGGGGTCTGATCCTATAGTTACTCTGTCTCTCTTCAAAAGAAGTACCTTGTAGAATCAGAGTTTCTGCAGGGAATTGTGTCGTCTCTGTATTAACATTTTATATATATTGTACGCAGACACTCCTCTGGGGTTTCTCTCATAGGATATGGATAGAGCGAACTCATCTGTCAGGAAGTGATGCGAGGTTGTGGGCGGCTAGCCAACTAGGCCATCACCTGAGAGAAATCATCACCTCCTCCCACAATGCACTGCGCTCTGGGCCCCTATCCACAAAGCGTCTTTGAGTAGGAGTGCTGATCTAGGATCAGACCATACAATCTTATTCATTATGATCTAAAAAGCAAAACTGATCTGAACTCGGGCACTGGTCTACACTCTCTACTATCACCTCAGAGCTATTATAGCTTCGCCTTAGATCAGTGGTATTCAAATACAATTTTATTGAGTACATTTATTTATTGGTTTCTTTTCATTTTGATAAGTGATTAAAATACAATGAATTGAAGATTGTGTTTATGACCCCATTAGATTTGAGGTGGGGTGGAGAGAAATTCTTTGGGGAAAAATGGGGAACCCAGAAATTCTGGCGGAAAAAATGGGGTCCCCGCTAAAAAGGTTTGAATACCACTGCCTTAGATTAACTATAAGCAAAACCTTTGAAGCTACTAGAACTAGAGGATAAGTGTTAAAAACTAGAGGCTCAATCAATAAAACTGACTGAAATGGAGGCAAAACAAATCTAATAAAATAAAAATACGACTTCATTATCCGGTGTAAAACAGAAATTAATATATCACTGAAACTAAACCTACAAATACAAAGTAGACCCACATAACCCTTCATTTCCATAAGCACAAGAAACAAACAGTCAAATCTTTGCATCTGCACACACACAGAATTCCTCAGCGCTTCGCTGTACAGAAACCTGTTAACGCAGATCTCGCCTCTCCATCTCTGACTCAGACAATTACTTTGTCATCGTGAGAGGGGAAGAAAACACTTTCAAGGGGTGCATCCCCAATGGCACCCTATTCCCTATGTAGTGCACTACTTTTGAGCAAAGCCCTAACCTTAACCCTAACCCTAACCCTATGGGCTCTGGTCAAAAGTAGTGCAATAGGGAATAGGGTGCCATTTGGGACACAGCCAAGGACTGGCGCTTACGAAGGGCATACTGCCAGGCAATCTAGGCAGTGACAGACAGCTTTTCCAGCACATTGGGTATTATCAGCACTCTGGGCCTCCTGAGAGTTGTCACCCTGGAATAAGGGCCTTGAAGGGATGTTCTTTTCCAGAAGGTTTAGCTTATTTTCATTTCCTCCAAAACGTTTTTGAATTCGTTAGCTGCTTATTTAGCAAAGTCCAGAATTGCTAGTGGAAATAACAGTTACCGGGGTGCATTTACCAGTACAGAAAAAGATCACCAGCTATAAGGGCCTCAGCTTTGGCTCTCACTGCTGCCTCTCTTCAGGGGCAGACTGACGTGCAGCAAGGAGAAAAGCACTGTGGTCACGTTTGTAGTGTAGTGCACCCAAATAGGAGACGTCATTAGGACAGACAGTGGCCATTTTTTTTCTCCCAAACTGCTTCAAAATGCCTCTTTGGTTCTGGAATATTACAATATCACCACATAAAAGTAATCCATGACCCCATTCCTGATCTTTTCAGAGAGCAAGCGTGTGTATAAATACTCAGCGTGAGGCCTTGTGGAGGTGGAAACATGCTCTTTGCTCTCCCTCCCCATTCCCTGTCTGCATGTGGTCCAGGTGTTTGAAATCCACCCTGTCGCTGCCATGGCGACAGTCAACAAAAGCGTTGCCCTGCCCGGCGGGTCAGCGATCCCTCTTGTGAGAGAGTCATCACATTGCTAGCGTAGCTTTGCCCATCATCACCAGATACCATAGCAATGAGGGGAGAGAGACAGCAGTTAAGAATCAGCGAATAGGTGTGTGAGATACGGAGAGAAAGGGGTAATAGACTGATTGAAAGAAAGAAAAGAGAGAAGAAGTTACAGACGGACAAGCAGGTAGGCAGTCAGACAGACAGACACAGAGAGACCAGACACCGACGCTAGACGTCATTCCAGCCTGATATAAAAATAAGAGGCGATAACGTGTGGCCTCTTATGAGGTGTAAAGCCTGGACACTTTAGCCACTCCTGGGTCTGAGGCCCAGCCAGTCTCCCTTTAGACGCCAGTCTCCCCATGGCAATAATATAAGACCTTAGATGAGGTTTCAACTCGCTTTGATGGTGATCTGTTAGGTGGTGCCTCTATCAAAAGCAGTGCTGGAACGAGGATATGTGATCTAAAGACTATACCAGGGGTCTGAGCCCGGCGGTCCAGATCACTGCTGGTTTTCTGTTCTTCTACCTGATGATTAATTGCACCCACCTGGTGTCCCAGGTCTAAATCAGTACTTGATTAGAGGGGAGGAATTAAAAATCAGCAGTGGAACTGGCTTCGAGGTCCAGATTTGAATTTGTATTACGTGATGTAATTTGCCCCTCATTAGCAGTCTCCACAGCATTTTGAAATAAGCCTAAAATGTTGTGGGTCTGTGCTATCATCTTATACACTCAGTTTGTTAGTACCGGGTCGGACAGCCTGAATTACTCGGGGCAAGGAAACGGTGCTCAATTGGTATCAAGGGACCTAACGTGTGCCAGGAAAACATTCCCCACACCATTACACCACCGCCACCAGCCTGTACCATTGACACCAGGCAGGATGGGGCCATGGACTCATGCTGCTTATCCCCAATCCTGACTCTGCCATTAGCATGACGCAACAGCAACCGGAATTCGCCGGACAAGGCAAAGTTGTTCCACTCCTCAATTGTCCAGTGTTGGTGATTGTGTGCCCACTGGAGCGCTTCTTCTTGTTTTTAGCTGATAGGAGTAGAACCCGGTGTGGTCGTCTGCTGCAATAGCCCATCCGTGAATAAGACCAACGAGTTGTGCATTCCGAGATGCCGTTCTGCACACCACTGTTGTACTGCGCCATTGTTTGTGGCCCGCCTGTTAGCTTACATGATTCTTGCCATTCTTCTTTGACCTCTCATCAACGAGCTGTTTTCGCCCACAGGACTGCCGCTGACTGGATGATTTTTGTTTGTCGCACCATTCTCTGTAAACCTTAGACACTGTCGTGCATGAAAAGCCCAGGAGGCCGTCCGTTTCTGAGATACTGGAACCGGCGCCTGGCACCGACCATCATACCACGCTCAAAGTTGCTTAGGTCAATCGTTTTGCCCATTCTAACATTAAATCGAACAGTCCCTGAATGCCTCGATGCCTGTCTGCCGGCTTTATATAGCAAGCCACGGCCACGTGACTCATGGTCTGTAGGAGCGAACCATTTTAGTGAATGGGTGGTGTACCTAAAAAAAACTGGCCACTGTGTAGTTCATCAAGTGTAGAGTTTACGTTAGCCGATAATTGACAGCTTTAGGCCGATAAATAAAATAGTTGCCGACCAAATTGACTGGGAGAAAAAAAAACAATCTCATTACAAAATAATGCTTTTTATTCATTGATGGAAATACCAGTCGATTGAAATACATTTGCCTGTCATGCTCATCGGTCTATAGGTTAATTTGCATAATGTACTGGAATTTTCGTTAGTCATCATGCATCTTATTTATCACACGTGCATAGCATACAACGCCTATTTTGAGCGGAATATCAACTACAGACAGCGCTAGAGCTGCTGCAGCTCCCCAGCTCGTTTCTGCTGGAGTGAAACATGCTTTTATTCACCCAGTTATTGCGCAACTATTCTAAATGCAATCACGTGTTAAAAGCAGTTTTGATGGGCATTCTGAGCACCGTGGGTGGACACCCTAATGGGTTGGTTATGCACCCAATGTATATAGGTCCAGTACATTTCTGAATTGGCCGGTAAATTAAAATCTTCCCGGTCACATTGTCCGGCGCCACATTTTCCTAACGGAAACCCTGGACTAGCCCTAGTATAGATCTGGCTGGTTCACAGAGCAACACTTGTGATCTATGTGGTTGTTTTACCTACTTTAGTTGAATGCACTGTTTGTAAATCGCTCTGAATAACATTAACTTGGAGCAACAACAAACCACAGGTACTGCTAGGCTACATTGTATCCCACAATTGTCATGGCTGCAGCATTATAGCTTGCCTAGCTCCCCGAAACGTTTTCAAGGCTGCAGCTGCATTGAGAGTCATTTCACAATGCACGCACGCACGCCCACACACACACACAGAGACACACACACCTCTGGCCTGTTCCTCTGTATGCAGTACTAGCGGGTGTGCAGGCTGAGTGGCTGTGACACATTATCTGCACGGCTCAAATAGGCCTCCACGCCCACATACTGTAGCTGTTAATGAGACGGATCCATCAGAACATAGCAGGGGAATGTGCTCTCCTGTTCTCTGCCAGACACAGAAGGAGAGAGCAAGAGTGTGCTAGATCAGAGAAAGGGAGAGAGAGAAAGCGAAAAAGAGGGAACGAGAGAGTACCAGAGAGAGAAAGCGAGACATTGGAGAGAGAGATGTAGCGAGGGAGAGATCGGAGAGTGAGAGATAGAGAACAGAGCTCTACGTTGATGAGTCTTGTGGTATCCGTTTTAAATGTGCTGTTATTAGCTCCACGGCTGTTTAGATTTTAGGCAGTGTAGATGCAATAAGATATTTAAGAAATAAGAAAGTTCTGCATGAACTCATGCTTGTCACTGTAGTTTTGTGTTGAGGAACAAAATCCAAAATATTTTTCATGGAGTGACCCTTTGAGCACAACCTTTCCAATCTGTGTCATCTTGCGCCAAAGCACCTGATCTCGCCTCCTCCCGCCTACCTTCCATGTATTTCCATTGTTAGAGCGGTCACTCGACTATCTTGTCAACATAATAGAAAATCTTTGGTACAACCAACTACAAGGTTCTACCAATGGTGCTAGTCTCCTTTCCCAAAGTTCACAGGTTTTTCAGAAATCCTGGTTGGAGGATTCTCAGAGGATAAGCAGGGAGGGAATCCTCCAACTGGGAATGCTGCAACCAGGAATTCAGAAAAACCTGGGAACTTTTTTCAGAATCTCCTTGCACACAATTGCTGAGGGCAGAACAACAAAAATGAGAGAAGACAGAAGAATACAAAGAGAACAGAGAGAAATTAGAGCAAGAGATGGATAGATGCGCTGCGTTGTGACATCCCACACTAGTACTCTGAGCTCAATTCTAAATCTGGCGGATTTTACGGCGGTTTCGAGATTTTCAGATCATGCGCCTATAACACTAGACTTATATACCAGAGTTTGTAGGCCACAACTCATGAGCAGTTAGGGTGGTAAATCCTAGCTGTACTGACAGTGTGCCATTTGGGTCACACAGTCAGGGTTAAGATGACCTGGTAGAGGCCAGCTAAGGGTAAGTGGATTCTGGAGACCAGGCTCTGGACATTTGAGAGGGGACATGGTCCGCCCTTCCAACCTTGATGATCCATAAAGGAACTGAGAGAAAGAACATCCTATTTGGGTTAATGTACCACTCTGTTCCATAATCTCAGTTTCCGAACAACACTGGCTTTGCCTTTTACTTCACACCCAATGCTGTATTCACCAAACAACAACTACAGATCTATACAACAAAGCCAACTTTCCCACATTTCAGCTTCCCCAACAGTACTGGCTTTTACCACTATTCCATTACTCCACAGATTATTGTTTCACTGCTCCATATACCTTGACATATCTGGCCAATGCAACAATTCTAAGGCTCCTATCTACAGTCTTGAAATAATATACACTGTTGGATTTACTTTGAAGATTGATATTTGTTTGAGACGCTATATGAATACAATTTAATATAGATAGTTAAGCTCGGCATTGGCTGTGTTGAGGTTTACACACTCGTAGTTACAAATAGATGCACGCCATTGACATTCCTGAGAGGCCACGGGTCTGTTATTGACAATTACCAACTAGCATACCAGCGATATTCTGAGAACCAAAAGTTGTCATCGCACAAAAGGCAGATAAAAGGAGATTAGTCACTCACTGTTCTTGGAGGATAAAATCAACGTTCTCCTGAGACACCTGTCCCGTCACGGGGTGCCGGAACGCCGTGGTCCTCTGGTTATGGCTATGAGAGGAACAGAGGAGAAGAGAGGGAAGAGTGGTGGGGAATGGATGGAGGAGGAGAGAGGGGGAAAAACAGAGTGGAACAAAATTAGCATCGCTGGCTATCAAATCAGTCTGCGGTCATTGCGTTGGATTTTCACCCCCTTCCACTCACATGTAGACACAAGCGGATCATTCTCTAGATCATTCTCTAGGGGGTTTCAACTGCCCCCTAACCCTCTACTCTCGCCCCCCTGACTTTCTCAGGCGTGTGTAGAATGTGTGGGGTGGCGGTGGCCCCCTGTCCTGGACAGCTCGTATGATCTCGCCCTAAAGTGTCAGGCTCAGCACTAAATTCTGGACACACACACACACACACACACACACACACACACACACACACACACACACACACACACACACACACACAGAGAGATCGGTCAGGCCAGGCAGGGCCTCCATTGATTTCGACCTCAGCCAGTGATTCAGGGCCTGCGTCCCTAGGCTATTCCCTATAAGAACTACTGCACTACATAGGGAATAGGGTGCCATTTGGGACACAGACAGGCCCTCTATCAGGGATGTAAAAGCATTCCACTGCCAAGGGGATAAACAAAGAAGGGGTGGTGGCAGGAGGGCTGGTCAACGCTTTGCTTTGGAAATACTTTGAAGGTAAATGGCACACAATGTTTTCCAACTATACACAGTCTACAACACTCAACTCTTGTCTCGTGGGAGCTCGCAGGGTGAGGTTGAGTTGGAAAATCGGTCAAAGTTAACTGCCGGCGATAAGGTTGATGACAAGTGTTCCATTTATGAAACACAATCACTCACAGTGTAACTCACGCTAAATGAATCATTCAAGTTTTTAAAATGTTTTTTAAATGAATTTTAAAAAACATACAATCCACCTGCAGTGAAGCCGCTCAACATTTACATTCGATTTTAGTAATTTAGCAGACGCTCCCATCCAGAGCAACCCACAGGAGCAATCAGGGTGAAGTGCCCCGCTCAAGGGCACATCGACATATTCACCATCCAGTCCACTCGTGGGACCCGAACCAGCGAGTGTTGACATCTAATAATAACTAGAGAAGAAATGTGTGTAGCATCTTCTGATATCGCAAAGCCAATCATACATACATACTAAGTTCAGTTAGTCTTCAACAGGTATTGTTGTTGCTTGCTATGTAGGTTAAGTCAGACCCTTTCAGAACATAAAGGCAGATTTGGATCTTTAGGGAGATCGCTGACAAAATCACAATTTGCAGCGCTTCGTCCCCAGATATCTCAGAGTACCAGGAAGCTCTAATGCATTCCTCTTCTTCCAGGGGTTAGGATGTAATCAGTTAGGCTCTGCGTACACACCACCAAGCCTGCATCCCAAATGGCACCCCATTCCCTATATAGTGCACTAATTTCGAACCGGGGCCCATAGGGCTCTGGGTAAAAGTAGTGCACTATGTAGGGAATAGGCTTCCATTTGGGATGCAAGCCAAGTGACTTCAAAACAAGCCTTTATAGGGCACACGTCGCACAACACCCTCCCAATAGATTCCCTCCATCAAATCCCTGTACGGGAGCTGCTGCGGTCCCTGTTCCTGTCCCTGTAGGAGCTGATGTGGAGTGACGGCTGAGAGCTCACGTCCTGGTTTTAAGGAAGGAAATAAGCACTCCGGTCCAATACACACAGGGATGTGTGAAGTGGCTGCTGTGCTGTTAGTTGTCTTGACAGAGGCTGCATCCCAAATGGCACCAAAAGAAGTGCACTAAATATGGAATAGGGTGCCATTTGGGACGCAGCCAGAGTTATGTTTCTCACAGTGCTCTAGATACGAGTATGTCTCAGGGGACACTATTGGGGTCTACATTATCATAGACAATTATCTTAGAAAAGTTTGTACTGCTGTCTATGCAGATAGGCATAAGTATTAGCGATATTGGCTGAACAGGAATTAATACTTTTATAGTACTTGAGTAATAGCGCTGTCCAGGGGATGGCAGTGGCACCCACCCTCCACAGTATTTTTAGCCATGCGCTAAAATGGTGACGTGCTCACAGATCCCCATCAAATTCAACAGCAAATGTAATGTTACACTGAGGTCATCACAAATCGTTGCATTACTTGTAAACAACCAGTGCCAGTCTCAGGGCCTAGAGGCATTACAACAGGGAAAATCACAGTGTTTTTGCCTGCTACTAACTTTTCAATAAAACATTTGACCCATCCAATACAGTCATGGAAAAGCCCATTGAGAAATGGTTTCAATCCTTTAGAATTTAAATTGTCTGTTTCCATCTATGTTAACGTATATTGAATTCACTTTAAATTCATGGTTAACTCTATGGAATGTCTTTGGGACCGCCAGATGGAACATTTTATAGCACAGATGTTCCCACCACACCATCTCAGGCAATTCTTATCCATGACGTCTAACATTCAGTGCATTCGGAAGGTATTTAGACCCCTTCCCTTTTTCCACATTTTGTTACGTTACAGCCTTATTCTAAAATGGATTAAATACATTTTTCCTCATCAATCTACACACAATACCCCATAATGACAAAGCGAAAAACGTTTTTGAAAATTTTGCAAATGTATTAAAAATAAAACAGAAATACCTTTTTTACATACTGTAAGTATTCAGACCCTTTGCTATGAAACTTGAAATTGAGCTCAGGTGCATCCTGTTTCCATTGATCATCCTTGAGATGTTTCTACAACTTGGAGTCCACCTGTGGTAAATTCAATTGATTGGACATGATTTTGAAAGGCACACATCTGTCTATATAAGGTCCCACAGTTGATAGTGCATGTCAGAGCAAAAACCAAGCCATGAGGTCCAGAGTTCCTCTGTGGAGATGGGAGATTGCCAAAAAGGCACCTAAAGGACTCTCAGACCATGAGAGACAAGATTGTCTGGTCTGATGAAACCAAGATGTAACTAATTGACCTGAATGCCAAGTGTCATGTCTGGAGGACGGTGAAGCATGGTGGTGGCAGCATCATGCTGTGGGGATGTTAGATATTACTGCACTGCTGGAGCTAGGAACATAAGCATTTCGCTGCACCTGCGGTAACATCTGCAAATCTATGTACGCGACCAATGAACTTTGATTTGGGTATTTTGGGGTTGTTTCTAGTAGTTTCCGGTATTTTGAGGGTAGCTGTTTACAGTAGTTTCTGGTATTTTGGAGGTATCTGTTTGGAGTAGTTTCTGGTATTTTGGGTTGTTTCAGGTATTTTGGGGGTAGCTGTTTCCGGTAGTTTCTGGTATTTTGGGTTGTTTCTGTTAGTTTCTGGTTTGGGGTAATAAGTAAGACTACATAAATGTTAACTCTCTAATTATCTGGCTTTGAAAATGTTGTGGAAGAACCTAAACAGAGCCACAGGTGAAGCAGACTCAGTCTGCATCATAACAACAGATAACATCCCTTTAAGAAAAAATGTTTATCTCATGGTGAGAGAAATAACCCATTCCACACTGGCTTTAACGCTGAGCTCAACCCTCTACATGTACGGTGTGGTATTTACCTACAGTGCTGAGGGGGTACGTAAGGACACTCGAGTGTTGACTGGCACATCAAGGGAGGTAAACATTAATGTAAACAAATGTTGGTTACTAGGCTCCCATGCCCCCACCCCTTCATCCCTATACAGTTGACTTAATAACCTCTTAGAATGTGTGTGTGTGTGTGTGTGTGTATGTGTGTGTGTGTGTGTGTGTGTGTGTGTGTGTGTGTGTGTGTGTAGTAGTAGTAGTAGTACATCTAACATCAGCAAGCGCTGCTCAATAAGTAGGGGTGTGAACGTTTAAACTTTTAAACAAAATTGGGATCCTTATTGTCGAGTAAAATCCCTAAACGAAAAACAATGTTTTTTTTATGTAGATGCAGAACGTAAACAGCATAGTGGGTCTTTTTCCGCATCAACTACGAGCGTTGAAGCGCAAAGCTCAACTTCTCCACTGTTTTGGTGCCCTGGCTACCACACTGAACAGCGTGAAGTGAACCCGTGCACATGCGCAGATACTGTGTGTGACTGTGTGAGTGCGAAGTATTGCATCTCGCTCACCTCAATATCCTAGCCTATTAATTGATGATAGGCCCTGCTTGACTGAAGTTGCTTGAAATTGCAATCCAAGAAATTGCGAGATACAGCATTTCATTGCATTGCGAAATACAGCTTTTGATTGCCGATAGATAGGCCTAGTGCACGGTTCTGACTGTCTGCCTGGTGGCCGACTTACCTATACGGTGCCCCTCCCCTCTCTCTCCATCCCTCACCATGAAAGATGCGAGTGCTTGTGTTCTCGGAAGTATGGCAACAAATCAGTCTCCTCTGTTCCAAAAATACTGAATCTTAGGAGTCCATTCCTAGTGGAATCGAATCTTGACACTCAGAAATGGCAGTAGACGCCGGGAGTCGACATGCAAGGAGTCAAGGAATCAATTATTTTGGAGTTGATGCTCCACCACTACGTCATCATCGTTAACAGTTGGAAAAATGGCAGAGAAAAGCCAGCGACAGCAGCAAAAGTTCTTTATTTCTGGCCATTTTGAGCCTGTAATCGAACCCACAATTGCTGATGTTCCAGATACTCAACTAGTCTCAAGAAGGCCAGCTTTATTGCTTCTTTAATCAGCACAACAGTTTTCAGCTGTGCTAACATAATTGCAAAAGGGTTGTCTAATGATCAATTAGCCTTTTAAAATGATAAACTTGGATTAGCAAACACAGCGTGCCATTGGAACACAGGACTGATGGTTGCTGATAATGGGCCTCTGTACGCCTATGTAGATATTCCATTAAAAAAATCAGCCGTTTACAGCTACAATAGCCATTTACAACATTAACAATGTCTACACTGTATTTCTGATCAATTTGATGTTATTTTAATGGACAAAAAAAAATTGCTTTTCTTTTGAAAACAAGGACATTTCTAAGTGACCCCAAACTTTTGAACGGTAGTGTATACACACACACACACACTGCCTTCGGAAAGTATTCAAACCCCTT